TTTTCTCGTCGGGGCGGGTAAGGAGCTACGTTGAATTTGGGAATCGGGATGTCGCCGATTCTCCTGTTTTCATAGCAGGAATTTCTCAATCTACGGGCTGGGCTGCAACAACACAATCACTTGTTATTTTGCATGAAATGTATCGATAACAATTAAATCGGATAGCGCTGTCACAAGGGAAAATTTGTTCAGCTTGGACATATCTAGCCATTAAGCTATTTATATTGAAAATCAAAAAGGAAATATATTTCTGTTATGCTTGGTATATTTCAAACAACCAAATTAGAATATAATCCGTTTTACGTGGTGTATTTACATATTGATACACCAAAACAATGATTTTTTTTAACTTGGTTCAATTATGTAGATTAAAGACCTATATGGAAAAAGATTAAAGATCTAAAGCTTGGAAAAACAGAATTTCAATTATATAATAAAATATTTTTGTTATGATATATATTTTTGATCTTTAATGTATATATGTATATATAATATTCATCTGCCAAATTTGGCGGGAAACCCACTAAAACTAAAACAACACTGTGGAGTTCATTTCACAGCTGTTAACCGTTTGTTTATTATTTGAAATCCAAGTTTTCAAATGGGCAGGACTTCAAAGGATAAGCGAGACATATTCTACCGACTGGCCAAGGAGCAGGGATGGCGTGCACGGAGTGCTTTTAAGCTGCTCCAGGCGGAGGAGACGTTTCAGTTGCTGGAAGGTAGTGTTACAACCTCGTGTTTTTCGGTCCCATTCTAATTGGCTACTTATTTCAGGTCTCACCCGAGCCGTGGACCTTTGTGCCGCTCCTGGCAGCTGGTCACAGGTGCTGGCGAAACGGATGTACGAGCCGCTGCCGCCGGAAGAGCGGGAAAAGGTGAAAATCATCGCCGTAGACCTGCAGGGAATGGCTCCAATTGAAGGAGTCAAGCAACTCCGGGCGGACATCAGCAAGGAGTCGACGGCGGAGGCCATAATCGAGTTCTTTGGCGGCGAAAAGGCGCAGATTGTTGTTAGTGATGGCGCTCCCGATTCCACTGGAATGCACGACTTTGACTCCTATGTTCAGGGCGAACTACTTCTCTCCGCCCTCAGCATCTCCACCTTTATATTAGAAGAAGGAGGTTCATTTGTGTCCAAGATCTACCGGTCTGATAGGACTAGTCGGTTGTACATCCAGCTCAAGCGGTTCTTCAAGGACGTATGCGTTTTTAAGCCCTCCGCCTCGCGAAACTCCAGCATTGAAGCTTTTGTGGTGGCTCGAAAGTTTTGTCTGCCCGAAGGCTACAAGCCATGCAATCTGATTACCGAATGGCATGATCACCCTGAGTCCTGGGTGGGCAGGAAGAAGGAGAGCCCGCCCGTTGTTCAAGTTCCCTTCGTTGCCTACAAAGGCGATCTGGACTCGGATCGCACATACAATTTGGTAGGTTTTTATATTTTCGATTTGTTAAATCCATTAAAATGTGTTGTTTTAGGGCGAGCACTATGTTTACAAAGAGCCAGTTCAGGAACCCCTGACTGCCGCATACCAGGATATCCTACAGAAAACGAGCCAAGTGAACATAAAATATGAAGGCATTCGCGTTATTCACGATGACGAAATTTTAAAGAAATGGCTATCGAATGATGAGAATAATAGAAATAATAAATCTGAGAAGTTTGAGGCCTGAGTAACATTTAATAAAAACTTTAAAATTATGAAATTGAAAATCAGAGATCTTTAGGATTGTAAATTCTGGTGTATCTGAAAGCGTATCCAAACTTTCTTGTAAACGCAACAAGTGATCACGTTGGATATTTATTATTCCGATACATATTAATATAAAATTCATTCTGATCTTTACGTCGAACGGTTAACTCCTCTATGAGGATCACTTTTTGCTTTTGTAACAGTAACTACAACCTTAATAGAAACCCTACGATTACGTATTTGAAATAAATTTGTGCAAGCAGAGTGCGGTTTTTATAACGTCATAATCTTCTCCAGCTGTATCTTTTCTTCGTTGGCAGCTGCTTTCTTGCGAGCCCGGGCTCTTTTCTTTTGACCCACTTTACATCGACGGCGAAATTCTCGAGTTTGAGTTTCGCTCCACTTTTTTAAAGGTTGCCGTCTCACTGGAGCTTGTCTAGAGGGCTCTGGTCTGGGCAGCACCACCTTTCGACGTTGGACAGAGCGACCGTTTGCCTTCGCTGGAAAAGCGCAGGGCAGCAACTGGAGTTCCTCGTGCAGGCGACCACAAAGTGTGGGCGAGATCGGAAGGTAACTGCTGTGTGTAAGAAAGGATTGGTCGCTGGGAGAGGATTCCGTTAGTAGCTGGTGCATCTGAAAACTCTGGGGCGTTTCCTTCTTTGTGACAATACACAGCAGGAACTTATCCTTGTATTTTGGTGAGTATCGCAGTAGGTATTCGCCAGCGGGCACAGTGTCCAGTAGCTTCAGAAACTCGTACAAATTGGATAGTAGCTGCGGCATACTTGTGTTGTAATAATCATGAAGCTGCTGCTCCAGCGACATTAACGTCAGCTTCTCCTCCAGCATGGGCTCAAAATCTCGGAGCGAGATGCGTGTGCAGTGTCCCATCTCGGCCCGCAGTAGCTTTAACTGCAGCCAGGCACATATCAACTCGTATTTGGACATTATTTCGCAGCCGCAATCTGGCTTGTTCTCCAACTTTATGAAGTGGCATCCAAGTGGTTCCTTGCCGCTGGAATCCTTAACTGCTGGTATAGATAGTGTGCTAAAGATTTGAAACTCGTTGCACTCATCCTCTTTGCCTTTACTTCTGAGTGTCCAACTAACCAAGGCGGTATTGCAGTTACCATCTAGCACGTCAGATGATTGCTGGTCGATAGCGCGGGGCTTGTATACCATGTGCAGATCGATAGCTGACTTATCACAGTCAGGCTCATCGGGCACCTCCTTGACTGCTCCATTTATGTTGAAATCTAGCCACTCGGCTTGCCCGGGCTGTGAAATGTAGGCCCCATAAGCCAGCTTTAAGATCAAACTGTTTGTATGCCAACCACAGTTGCGGGCGGGGAATGGCGACTGGAATTCCATGCATTTGTGCTTACTGATTGGCGATTCTCTTAGGCTGACAAACATTTCGGTCGGCAGGTCTATATAAGATCCAGTGGTAAGGAGCATTAACAAGGAGTCTAGGGGTAACACGAAGACGTTGCCAGCTTCAAGCTCCAGTTCCTTGTCTTCCTCCCGCAATAGCTGTACTGGCTCCCTTGCTTCCCTCGTTGCGTAGCGATCCAAGCGCAGTCGTAAAGTCCGCAGGGTTTCATGGCGGACCTTCACCTCTCGACAGAGTCTTACGCGACCCACAGTCCGCTCCAGCTCCACCTGCTCTATGCTGGCGGTCTGAGAATTAAGGCTCTTGCACTGGGGCAACTGTGGCAGTCCGGAGAAGGTCATGTATGAATCGTTGGGGTACACTTGTATAAGTTTCTTAACACTCAGTTCGTACCACTTCCTGTAGGCCGCCACCAGGCTCTTCATGGGCGCGTAGATGACTTCTTTGCGACCGTGCTCGTGGTCATGTATGTGCTTCTGGACACGCTGTTGCTCGTTGCATCGCTTCTTTTCCGTGGCCTGCCACACCACGAAGTCCTGCTCATCGACGGGGTGACTGCGTTGCCAGGCGATGAGCACTCGCATGCAAGCGGCCTGCTGCTTAAGGTTCAGCTCCGAGTGCTGCTCCAGGGGATTGGGAAAACTGTATAGTAAACTGGCAGCAGAAAGGTCGCGAATCGGTCTCGCTGGGACCTCGTTGTTGCGAGGATCCCTCAAGGCCGAGTTGCGATTAAACGATTTAAAGACATCGGATGTTTCCTGGAGTTCCATTCGCAGTACGTCTGGGTCCACCTCGTTCAGCAATGTGTACAGCGCATCGTCCACGTGCTCCAATGATTTATTGAAGACCTTGTACGACGGCTGGTTCCGGAATACAGCGTTTCCCCCGTATAGCGCCGCATCCTTGTCCTGGTTCATTTCGAAACAGTCCTTGGAAAATATTCGAAAACTTAGTTTTCTGAATACGGTTTTTGGGTAAAAATACTTACAGGTGGAACTTTTGTTGAAAGAGACGTCTATTCATTGGCTGGTATACTGTAATTGTGTATTGGAAGCACGCATAGTTGTAAGAAGGAAATAAAATATATCAGGAAACGTTTATGTACGAACCTGTTAGGGCCTGTTGCAGTTCGATATTATTTTATTGGGAATAACACGAAAGTTAGTTCTTTTTAGCCTACAATCAGCTGGGCACACTGCGCCTACCCGCGAAACGACGATTTTTTTAAAATAAAAAAAACGATTCCCCAGCACTTATTTGTCTGAAAGGCTGCTATTGTTACGTCACTTCGCTCAATAGTTATTTAAAAGAATATTGTCGTGGAACAATTTTTAAATATTCTAATACTTAATGAAACCTACAAAAGCTATAAAGTTGGATGTAGCATGTAGATTCCAGAGACCTCTACACAGGCCACTCTAACGCCCACAAACCGCCCAAAACTACGACGCTGACTCATTTAAAAAGTGTTTATTTTTTTCATTATTTGATTAATCTTGTAAATTTTATATCGATTTGCTAAAAGATTTTTACCACAAAACGCCCAAAACTGTCACGCCCACGCTTTTGAAATTTTTAAATTTATTATTTTTCTTCCCCAATTTGTATCGATATGCCAGAAAAATTTTGAAATTTCCCGTTTGCACTTTCACTAGCTGAGTAACGGGTATCTGATAAATAAAGTAAAGTAGCTTTAAGTAGAGGCCCTAATAAAGTAAGTTGCTGACTTAAATATTATTTGATAAAACGAAACAAAACAGCTTCAGCAGCACTTTAGTTCTGTCCCTTCGGTGCAGATCATTTCAATTAATTTCACAGCATTAGGCGAGCTATTTATGCAACATTAACTTTTAAATTAAAGCTAATTAAAATGTGGCTTTAAAACTCACGTTCGATTCGCTTTCAGTACCAGTTTAATTGTACATTTTAAGCACAATATGTATATGTATAATCTGCTTTTAGTAGTAATAGTTTTTACCTCCTATACAAAATCCTTTAATTATACAAGCTGTGATCACGCAAAGCAGCCAAAGTTTGTAAGGAAATTCTAAATTAAACAAATTTTTATTTGTACGACTTAATATTTGGCAGCTGAGCTCATGCTGTGATGTTCAAAAAAACGACAAGGCCATCAAATCGTGTCGTAAGTCCTTGCTGAGCAATAATTCAACCAATTTGAATGGGACAGTGAGCAATTTGAAGTCGGATAAAGTGGCTCTGCATGCGGTTAGTATCGCTCTTAAACATGAATGAATTTTAAAATAGGTTTTACTCTTGAGAAACGTATAATCCTTAGTGCATCGCGGAATGTTCCTTCAGGACCAATGGCTTCTTGCTGAGCAATGGAAGTGTTAATACCCAGGCATTACAGAAGAGTTACCAGCAACGCTACAATAACGATCCAAACATGTCTCAACTGGTGCTGAAGAGCCTCAATAGTTGCACGGACTACGGTGAGTTAGGAATACTTACGAATGTAATATGTACTTAATAATGGCTAAACTTGAGTAGCTAGGAAGCGGGTTCAGCAGTTCCAGTGGATGCCCAAAAAGGGCGACTGCGACTTTTATCCTGCCACCTTGTTGGCCTGCATCATGGAACAGGTGTACATCAACTGCCCGATCAGCAAATGGAAAAACACCAGCGATTGCGCAGCGATGCGGAAATATTTGGTTGCCTGTGATGATGTGGATAGGAAGAAATAACCATTGAACATATTAAATTATGTCCGAATAGAGCATCCAAATGAAATGGGTTTTTTAGTCCAAATATTGCTACTTTTTCATTTATTCAGCCTCTACTTGGAAGGTAAATTTAGCAAGATCGGCCATTCCGCACTCAATCACATCGCCTGCCTTGAACGCATCCGAACCATTGGGCGTTCCGGTCAGGATCAGGTCGTTGGGCTCCAGGGTCATGTACTTGGACACGTAGGAAATGATGTCGGGCACCTTGAATATTAAATCTGCAGTGCACCCCTTTTGCTTGACAGCTCCATTGACAGTGAGCCAAAGCGGCAAGTTGTGTGGATCCTTCACTTTTTCGAGGGATATGAACTGGGAAACGGGCGTAGAAGTGTCAAATCCCTTGCCCAAGGTCCATGGGTGACCGGCCGCCCGAGCTGCTCCCTGAAAATATTAAATTTAATTATTATATACAAAGGCTCATGACTGTTGCCATCAATTTCCCTACCAAATTGCACTGGGCTGTCAGATCCAAAGCCAGGCAGTATCCTGCCACATAGCTCATGGCATCAGCCTTGGAGACGTTCTTGCAGGGCTTACCAATCACCACGCCTAGTTCCACTTCATATGCCACCTTGGTGAAGACTTTGGGTAACTGGGGGAATAAAATGTTTAAATTATAAGATGTTTAAAGCTCTAAGCAGAAATTACTTTTTTAGTGGGCATATCTTAATATCCGATAACGAAAATGGACTTTTACTTGAGTTTATGTAATTTAATATTGACTCACAAATTATATAATATTTTTATTTCAATTTTTAAATGTTATTATCTTTTATAAGAGTCGAAAGTTCTACAAAGTCCAAAGAGTCCAGTTTATGGTCTCTTGCTGTCTTGATTCTATCTCGATGCTCCCTAGAACTCACCACAATGGGCTGACCCTCCTGGAGATACGAAGATGTGGGTTTGAGGAAGACGAGCGGCTCCTGGGGCACGGGAACGTTCCTGGCCTTGACAACGTCCCTGTGGCGGAAGAAGGGATTCGGTGTTACCCATGCAGACCCAAGAATTCTATAGCACTAAGTTACATGTAATTGAGAGCCACCCCCACAATCTTTTTGCCATCGCGCAAGAAGTTGGCAGCATTCTGGTTTTGGCACGCCATCCTGAGGATTCGTGTTAGTTTGACCACTGTAAATTTTGGAAAAATATGTTAGCTCGATTCTGAAGCTGAATGTTCAAGGAAATGATTAGAATTCGAACAGCTCTGCGGTCGAATGAAAGTGAGCGTTTGATGAGCCGGACGGCACTTACTTGCGCAATGTTTATTAATTTAAAAGTGGGGGGTTATCTGGAGAGTGGCCCCCCGCAACAAGTTTATCAATTAAATAACAACAGAAAACGAAGAGGGCAATCAGCTGATCCCCAGAGTTGCCACAGCTGGCGAAGTGTGTTGATCAGATATATAATGATTACAATTCATAATTCTGAAAGAAAAGTAACTTAAAAGCAATTCATAAATAGTGGTTATTGCAACTACCTGTTTGAAAAATTAGTGCACCACCACCGAAGTTGTATGCACTTGCCGTATTTTGCAGCACTATCCCGGGGCAGCGTGACCGTTCGTCTCTAGCACAGATATCGATAACGATAGTGCACACTCATCTTTTTTGGCTTTGTGGTTGGCAGTCCGTATTTAGGCGGAAACTGGTAAAAAATAAAATCCTCCGTGTGAAAACTGAGTGCTCAGAAGTTGGCGCCAACTGTAAAACTAAAAACAAACTGCGTGCAAGCCGCCAGGAGCGGTGAGAATAATGACTTGCCAACGAGATTCGCTCAATTGGTGAGGGGACCTCGGCGAGTTGAGTTTGCCATCGCGTTTGCCGCGCCGTTTTCACGCATCCCGCCTGCGGTCCTACTGAAACTGAGACGAGCGAATTGTAATTTTCCTTCGAGCTAAAAATTATATGAAATTGCTGGCGAAAAGCGATTTGCAAGTCGTGTTAACGAAAAATCTGCGAAAAGCGCTACGTGGTGCGTGAGTGCGAGTGCGACGGAAAACTCTTGCAGTGAGCGAGTGAGAGAGAAGCAAAAGACGAGCCAGCAAACTCTACAAACACACAAACAACACAATGATGAAAATGGAGACTGACAAAATAATGGACGAAACCAACTCCAATGCACAGGCCGTGAGTTTTCGCTAAGTTACTTGCTTTAAGCGGGATTTCTGCCCTTCTATATGCCTAATACACACTGATTTAAGTACATAATGCCCAAGGTGTCGCCTCAATAGACCCACAAACACACACAGGCACGCACACTTGCGCCACCTATGCGTGTCACACTGGTGTGCGTGCGCTAGTGCTTTATTTTCGTATATACTACAGATTTTGCACTCGTGCACTCTATTAAATTCAGACGCTCTGGCATATAGCCGTCCCATGGGCTATAACCTTAAACTTTTGTGGATATTAGGCATTAGCCTACTTATTCATCGTCAGCATCATCATCATCGCCATCAACATCATCATCCCCTTTGTCCAATCATCCATGCATATATGTATATATTCCCAATCTCCGATTTCTAAGTCTTAAGATTTCGTTAATTGGCCTCGAGTTTGTGTACACAATTAATAACAAACAAAATACGGCCGTGTACATTTCAATCAGTACTTATTTTATTTTACGCCTATGGTTATGAAGTTAAATGCTATAGGCGGCTTATTGAAGGTCAGTTTCGGCAAAACCATCAAGCATTGGGCCCAAAAATCGTTTTTTATTTGTAATCTTTTCGCTCGGTTTCTCTTGAGTCATCTGGGCTTTAATTTCGCTGGATTCAAGGTGAATCTGGTTTATGATACAGACTGCTTCTTGGTAATAGCTCCGAAGCACAGACTGTTTATTAGAGGATAAAATATAAATATTGCAATATACCTTCCACAGAATAGTAGCTAAAGTAGCATCCTTCAGTTACCAGGCAAAGGCAAACAACTAAAGCTTACAAAAAACCATAATACGGCAATTAAATTAAGGCAACCGACCCGAATACAACTTATGTACATACATATATACAACATTTACTATATTCGCAAGGTTTTCGCATTGCTGGCATTGCAGTTAACTTAATTACTCAAATCACTCACACTCGAACCTTCCAATTTGTTTACTTTACGCTGCTAAAATTGTTTGCCGAGATCTTTAGCATTTAATTGATGACGTTTGATTTAATTGGGCCCATCAATGGGAATGTCTATATATAGAATGCGCATAATGAGGATGGAAAAACAAATAAACATCGATACAATTATTATTTATAAACTGCCCGTGTGAATGATCTGTTTCTACCGCTGCCAGTCGGGTTTCTGCCAGTTTTTCATTCTTCAGAAATCCGCTTTGCAAACTCTTTCGCCGCCAAATAAAAACAAAACGAGAAAATTACGAGAGGAAAGAAACTCGCAGCGGAGTCGAAGCTAATTGCCTAATTGTAAGCCCCCAGTTTGGGTCGTCAGTAGCCTAAACTAAAGAAAAGTTGCACAACCAGCAGCTACCTACTTTTCCAGTTTTAACGATCGCCCCTTGACATCCAAGCACCCCAAACACATCATCGTCCTAAAACATAGGAAATAACAAACGGAACCAATGCAATCTCATAATTAATTTGCTTCTTTATGCCACTTTTCACCCGTACAGTTCACAACCACTATGCTGTACGACCCGGTGCGCAAGAAAGACTCATCGCCCACCTACCAAACGGAGCGGGAACTCTGTTTTCAGTACTTCACCCAATGGAGCGAGTCGGGCCAGGTGGACTTCGTGGAGCACCTGTTGTCGCGCATGTGCCACTATCAGCACGGACAGATCAATGCCTATCTCAAGCCGATGCTCCAGCGTGACTTTATCACATTGCTGCCAAGTGAGTGCCGATACATTGTGTTTTGCTACCTGGGGCATAAGTCTGCAGATAACACGTCGAGGTCTGAAACAAATAGAATTGAACTTCATATTGGGAATATCATATTCGGGAACCTTTGATGAACTAAATCAATAAGGAAGGAATACATTTCATTTTGTGCGTACCTAAGGCTGACCATCATTATTATTCGGCCAGAATTTAAGTTCGTGTTAACTTAACTTTTGTTTCTCTAACTCTATATGGTATATTATTACACCCGTAGCTCAAGTGAGAAGATCATGGACCTAAAGAACATTGAACCAACCGCAGATAAATGTGTGTCGGTTGTTTAATTGCGATCTCTTCCAAGACATACTCAAACAAACTGAGTCAATTTACCTTTATTTTTATTCAGTCAGCCCACAGCAAAAAAAAAAACCCTCGATTAAAAATATATTATATGTTAAATTTGACAATGAACTTTTCCAGACTGATTCATTTACAATTTATTCAAGTGAAACATTTATCCGTGTTCTTACTTCCGTTCAACCGGACTATGATACTACGTTCTCAATAAGGTATTAGGTGGCCAAGTTATAAGTTATAACTCGTTACGCAACCAAGTATGAAACTATGAACGTTAAAAATGCAGTTCTGGTTGGGAATTCAATTTATTGCATAGTTCTATAAGCGAAGAAATGATAAAGTGAGGACTTGTTCAATTAAGTATTACACCCTCAAGGCATACTAATATGGCAGATATCCAAAGTTTATTCATTTATTTCCATTCGTAATCTGAAACCCTTTTTTAAGTTGCGAAATCTACATTGTCATATGACTAATATAATCATATTACTAAATATTATCTGATCTATTGAACGGATAAGCTAGCAGATTGGTTAATTAATCCAAGACTATGCGAATTAAATCAGTCAAGCATCACCTACAGAACGTATTTTATCACCCAGTCGTTATCAACACCACACTTTGTGTGGGAGGTCAGTAATCCCAGTTGACCAAGAAACCAACTGGCGCAGCTGATAAGAAGGCAATAACAGCTGCTAGGGTGTGAGATTCGACGGTCGGAGAGTGTGCGAGTTTTGCTCCCAAAATAAAGCTCAGAAATGGCTCATCCACCATTAGAATCTTAGGCAAGACTAGCAGCACAAAGCTGAGTTTAAGCCCTCGGCACGCAATAGGTAAAACAATAACAAACGGCAGGTACAAAGTTGAACAACATGAAAGGCAAGCCCCGCTCTGAGCCCGGTGCGATTTGTTCCGCGTCCCCCGATAGACACCCTTTCTCCTCCGGATTGTTGCCGGGCATGTTTTCAACTGGAGGAGTGGAGTGTGGAGGAGAGGAGAGGAGAGGAGAGGAGAGGAGAGGAGAGGAGAGGAGAGGAGAGGAGAGGAGAGGAGAGGAGAGGAGAGGAGAGGAGAGGAGAGGAGAGGAGAGGAGAGGAGAGGAGAGGAGAGGAGAGGAGAGGAGAGGAGAGGAGGAGGAGCCAGTGGGTGGGCTTAAGGTTGCTGGTTGTTGGTTGTTGACTGAAAGGTCGTTGCTTCCATTAAACGCGCTTTACCGGAACAAAAACAGAACGAAAGCGGTAACGAACCTTGTATATTATTCATAAGAAAATGTGAATCGATTTATTTCTGCCATTGATTGTCGCCCAACAGATGTTAACTAATAACAAAACTATTGTTATGATTGGTATGGGAAAACAGGTTAGCAATAAGTCGGCTTTAGTGAATAAGCGATCACTTCGCTTATCAATGCATCAATACGTGAGCGTATCGATGACTCAAACAGTCAACAAAGCTGTGCGTGCAATTCTAGCCTTTGCAAGGGCATCCATACAGAAAATGTATATTTACTTTCGGTTCGATGCAATGCCATTGGGTGCATGTATGTATGCATGCCTGTACTATAATGGCGAAGAATGTCTCTGTAATTTGCAAGCCTTTCCTTCCTTGAACCACCAGTCAGGACTGAGTTCTTTTGAGGAAGTTGTCTGATGTTTCCGTTGGCTTAAACCGCGGCGATGACGGCACACTATTCCGGTCAGATCTGATTTACATATTGCTTCTAAATTATTGAATATAAGTCAGTGCTAGTTAAAATCTTACAGATTAGAATTAATGATTACGATTAGAATTTAATTTCGTATCAGATATATGAATGAAGAGATAGATGAAAGCATTATACAATGTTATGTTAAAATCAAACTAATTTACTATACTATGAATTCTCCATTTAATTGACTATTTTAAGGAGGATAGTATTAAGCAGATTTGACACTCACTCACAAGAAAGCCAAGTGCTAATATACTTTTATATATAACTTCTGCTTAGTTGGCATCACTGAGTGTTCTGGGAATGAAAAAGAGTTGAAAGTAGGCAACATTGTCTCCTCCATTTACATTGTAATGCACTTCAAAGGCAGCTAACCGGGGGGACAGCAGGGCGGACAGAGCGACTGAACGACCGACCGGCGGACGGACGGACGGATTTACAGACGGATAGACACTCTTAAGACCGTTAGTCGCCGGCGACGGCAAACAACTTGAGCCAAATCGCTGCCGCCCGCCAAACAGCCTGCTATTCCGAGTTATGCACATTTTTAATTGTGTTGGGCAAATGCTGCGAACAGCGACCGGGGAAGGCACAGAATGCGAATGCGAAAGCTCGCATGCACTCCAGACTCTGACTTCTCTGTTGGCCCATCAGCCGGTTTGTCAATACAGATGAAGATGTGGATGTGGATGTGGATAAGGCTATCCCCTCCTCATCCTCCGGGGAAACTCAACCACTCCTATCCGTGACACATGTAAATATGCCAGTCTATAGGTTGCGCCTCCTCCACAGCCAGTCCCACACACTCCCTTCCACTCCCACTCCCACTTACTGGGCTAAGTGCATTTTAATGCCGTTAGGTGCATCATTTGCCTCTAGTTTGTCGTCCAATTAAAGCTGGCTGATGTGGCTGTATTGCATGGATTTGGTTGGGTTGGGTTGGGTTGGGTTGAGTGGGTGTCTGCCAAGTGCGCTAGTGGCCACAATCGCTCCACCTCATATCTGATGGCAAATCGGTTATGTGTTATCAAACATAGCTGGGAGCCAAATAATAATAGCTATTTTACATAGAAACTTTGTCCATAGAGATTATACGGAATCTGTGGTCTTGCTTGAAAATGACTTGTAAATTATAAGAATTTATGATTAATTATACGTGTACTTTTCCACACTTTGCAGTCAAGGGTCTGGATCACATCGCAGAAAACATTTTGTCGTACTTGGATGCCGAATCGCTCAAATCGGCCGAGCTGGTCTGCAAAGAATGGCTACGCGTCATTTCCGAGGGCATGCTGTGGAAGAAGCTTATCGAACGCAAGGTGCGCACAGATTCCTTGTGGCGCGGACTGGCCGAGCGGCGTAATTGGATGCAATACCTCTTCAAGCCTAGACCGGGTCAGACTCAACGGCCACACTCATTCCATCGCGAGTTGTTCCCCAAGATAATGAATGTGAGTTGTCATCGGAGTGTGCCGAATGCAATCAGTTTATTCAACCGCACATTCTATGGTTTTAGGACATAGACAGCATAGAGAACAACTGGCGGACTGGCCGCCACATGCTGCGCCGCATCAACTGCCGGTCCGAGAACTCGAAGGGTGTCTATTGCCTGCAGTACGATGATGGCAAGATTGTCTCCGGACTAAGGGACAACACCATCAAGATCTGGGATCGCACGGATTTGCAGTGCGTTAAGGTAGGTTCATCCTGGAATAATATTATAAATACCTTGAAATCAGAATTTTCTTGAATACTGTTAATGTAATGTACTGAACTCCTAAATTCCAGACCCTAATTGGCCACACTGGATCGGTGCTGTGCCTGCAGTATGACGACAAGGTGATCATCAGTGGCTCCAGCGACTCCACCGTCCGCGTGTGGGACGTCAAGACCGGCGAGATGGTGAACACTCTCATCCACCACTGCGAGGCGGTGCTGCACTTGCGCTTTAACAACGGCATGATGGTGACCTGCTCCAAGGATCGCTCCATCGCCGTCTGGGACATGACCTCACCCAGTGAGATCACGCTGCGGCGCGTACTTGTCGGTCACCGGGCTGCCGTAAATGTGGTGGACTTTGACGAGAAGTACATCGTGTCCGCCAGCGGGGATCGTACCATCAAGGTCTGGTCCACATCAAGCTGTGAATTCGTGCGCACCTTGAATGGCCACAAGCGTGGCATCGCCTGCCTACAGTATAGAGATCGCCTAGTGGTCAGCGGCAGCTCAGACAATTCCATAAGGTGAGGCGTGTGAATTTAACCGACTTTCCGGCACTATGATTAATAATGATAAACAATTTTTTCATGAATGTTGCGATTTGTAGTGGCTTTTTGTTAGTATCTGAGTTTAGATCAATCTCGATATCATATAAAGCTTACAAAATATTAAGTTTACCTATAATTATCGGCTGCATAAAGAGATCATTAGCTTTTTCTTTATTTTAGCTACGTTCCAGGACCCAACCTGATATAACTAATCTAATTTTCCAATCTATTTTAATCTACGTTTTGCAGGCTTTGGGACATTGAGTGCGGTGCCTGTTTACGTGTCCTAGAGGGTCATGAGGAATTGGTTCGCTGCATCCGTTTCGATACGAAACGAATCGTCAGCGGCGCCTACGATGGCAAAATCAAGGTTTGGGATTTGGTCGCCGCCCTTGATCCAAGAGCAGCCTCCAATACTCTCTGTCTGAATACCCTTGTGGTGAGTCATTCGGCCTGTCTCATACGCTTTTATCTAATCTCGGTGGTGAATCCTTTTAGGAACATACTGGTCGCGTGTTTCGTTTGCAATTCGATGAGTTCCAGATTGTTAGCAGCTCGCATGATGATACAATTTTGATTTGGGACTTTCTAAATTTCACACCCAATGAGAACAAGACCGGACGCACACCGTCACGTAAGAGAAGCCAACTTTCACCTCATTGATCTCTTGAATTATGCATAACGATTTCGTTTTGTTTTCTCAATTTCCATTGTGGTTGTTGCTTCTGGCGCTATAGCGGCCCTGATGGAACATTAACATTTTGTGCAACGGCAGCTGCGCGAGTTACATCTACAATCCTCGAGCGAAGGAGAGGAGGACGACGATGAGGACGAGGACGATGGAGATGATTTTGATGAGGAGGATTCTATAAATGATGCTGGCGCGTTTATGGGGGGATATGTTAGGCACCGGGATGGTGGTGGTTCGGACTCCGTCACCGGTTCCGGTTCGGATCCAGAATCGGATGACCTGGATTTTGATGTAGATGTTGAAAATATAAATGATTATGATGAATAATGAGTGAAAGGTCGTAAACCAGCACATACACACAGCATGCGACTCGTCTATTCAGAAAACTATATTGAACCCAAGATACAGCGATCTCTAAGCGTCTATTTTACAACCGCACACCACTCTACACACTACATCCACACACACATACATCCACACCGAACACACACATAATATGAATTAAATGAAGTTATAAATGCAAACAAACAATAAATGCAGAAGGAGTATACTAAATATGCAGATATTTTCGCAAAGCTGGCTGTTAGGTTTGTCATATACGAATGAAACGAAAATGAAGCAAAAACAGAAGAAAAGTAAAATTATGTATAAGTTAACTAGGCGCTGTAATACTAATCGAGGGTCAGTCTTTGAATCGCACTTCGGATCGGTGGATCGATCGGGCGTTACTTTAAGTGTTTCTTTAGCTCAAATACACATGTTTCGCGTTTAGGCAGCTGCCGCCTTAGGAAAGAGGAAATCTGTGAAATGGTTTGAAACATTTTCGCAGCTGGAATCTGCAACGCGGCCAGAGGAATCAGTCTGTAGCATAAATGTTAGTTAGAGTTGCATCATTGAAATTGGCAGAGCATCAATTCGGTTCGCCGTTTTGCACATTTGTAACCTACTTTACACACCTTTTGCCTAATGTTTGTGTTAATTGTAAAGTAAAATTAAGCCTAGTATCTTATTGGCAACTGTAATCTAAGTTACCCGAAATACAAATAATTTAAATGAAAAGTTAACTGTGTAAAGGACACACGCAGTGTCTGCAATTGGAAGTTACACATCTTTCGAGTAAAGATGAATTGAAAATTAATCCATTGTACTGCAATATATAACCGATTCTTTGATTGATCTATGCTAACTATAGATTCTAGATATACTGATGTATGTAGAAAATAGCAAATTCCCAGGCAGTTTCAACAATATAATTATATGTATACCGTTCGTTGATTGTGATCAATGGATACTTTACTATATGTATTGCTATTTGTAAGTTAAGATCCAATGCTATACTTGATCTGGATCACGATCGCCGCTTCCGCGTTAACTAATGTATGTACATAACGTTTTACTTTAACAAAAGTTGATCAAATATGAACACATACTCCGGATTATGTAAAACTGTTAGTGGAAAGAGTGCAGCTTGTTAAACGATGGCCGAGCAACTGCTAGTGCGCGAATGGGCTTAGTATATGTAACATAACTAGAAATAATAATAAATTGTGTATAAATCCTAAAAATTTTTTCATTTTATTACCCAATCAGTTAAGTTACTTTGTGATTTGAACCTGGCTTATACAAAGTTTTACTGACCATTGTTATGCATTATGGTTTTTAGGCGTTTTTTTTTCTTTTCAATCCTATAATAATTTCTTACTTTCTAATCTTTAAATGTATAAATTGGGCTTGCGTTACGTTTTCATTTTAAAGAAAGTTTAAAAAAGACTACAGTGGACTAACGATGTCTTATATTATATTATTTTCGTATATATTGGTGACATTTTTATAATTGACCTGTTGCCAATAGTGCCCGTAACCCGTCGACAAAAGGGTAAGTTAGATTCGTTCAAAAGTATGTTTCCGACCCTAAAAGGAATATATATTCTTGATCACTATCCGAGTCAATATGGCTATTCCCGTCCGTCTATCTTTCCGTATTAACGCAGTGATCTCGGGAACTATACAAGCAAGAAAGTTGAGATCGGGCACGCAGATTCTAGTGACTTACTGCGTACAGGGTATCTGATGGTCGGCTAAATCGGGAAGCGTTCTCTCCTTTCAAATATGTAGATGCATAGTGCGCGCATTACATTTTTAAGTTGGTGAGAACAAAGTATTTTTTTGTGGAATTGTTCGCGATAGGCACATATTCATGTCGGAATTTTTATGGTTATCTGGTCACATCCCAAATCACAAACTTTGTTTACCGATAATTATCTGAAAATCCTTATTTGCGAAATCCCTATCATGGACTGGTACGTGGGCACAGAGTGGGTGGACAAGAACCGTGGTCTGGCGAAGAAGGCAATTAGCCTCCAGTTCACCGAAATGGTCAAGCCAACGACAATAAGTACTGTGGAATTCAGTGTCAACAAGAAAGCCGCCAACTTGGGAGGACGACCTAGCAAATATTTGGCCAGCGATGAGTCTGCGACGTATCCTCAAAAACACATACTGGAAATGGGCACCAGCCTGACCGCAGTAGACTGCTACTTGGAGCTGCTGCTGCAGCAATTTGTGCCAGGTGAAACGGCAGCCTGTAGCATTACGGCGAAATCCGGCGAACGGATTGAAATTGAGCTGAAGCTGGAGAAGATTGTAAAAAACACCCAGGTAGAGAAGCTAAGCGCTGCAGAGATTTATGAGGTGGCACTGCGTCTCAAGGAGAGCGGTGTGGGTACTTTTAAGGCGTTCCCGAAATTCGCATTTGATTACTTTGTGCGTGCGGCAAAGTTGCTGATCACCTACAAACCCTTCGATAAACTGACCAAAAATACCAATGGCATCAACGGTCAGGCGGTGGAGACGCTTTTCATCCAAATAGAGACCAACCTGGCCGCCTGCTTGTTACAGGAGAAACGCTATGAGCACGTAATCTACCACACACAGTTTGTGGAAACGGAAGAGAGCCCCAGCGAGAAGAGCATCTACCGGCGGGCACTGGCCTACTATCACCTGAAGGAGTTCGCCAAGGCGCAGGCCACCATCGAGCGATTGCCTAACTACGAGGAGAAGCGAGAGTTCAGCAAGCTGCGCGACAACATCGCTAGCAGCTGGAAGGATAGCAAGGCCCATTACAAGGAGGTGGTGCAGCGTATGTTTAGTTAGTTTCCATTGATAACATCTCGATGTCAGGCTAACCAACGGTCTTTATAAAATAGCTTATGTTAAATGTACTACTTCGATTTTCTACTTTTTTTGTGGTCAAACTTGGCGCGCTTGTTTTTGGGATCGAACTTGGCTCTCCTGTTCTTGGGGTCGAACTTTTTCTTATTGTCCTTACGATCGAACTTGTCCTTACGATCGTACTTGTCCTTGCGGTCAGGTTTGTCCGTCTTGTCCTTGGTATCCAACTTAGCCCGCTTGTTCTTGTATTTCATTCCGCCGCCCAGACTAGGCCGCTTTCGGGAGGACTTTGCTTCCATTTTAAAGAGTTCTGCAAGGGAAACAATAGTTCATATTCTACGCAGTATATAGCACAACTCACCTTCGTCTGGTTCCTCGCCGACTTCCTCCTTGTAGTACTCCGCATCATCCTCGGGGTCGCTATCGGTGCGTCCCTCTGCCGCCCTCTTGGCAGCCCACTTTTCATCCTTCTTAAGTTTCAAGTTGCGAGCCCGGTTCTCTGCCTGCTGCTTCTTGCGCTGTTCCTTTTGCTTTCGCTTCTTTTCGACCAGCTTGCGCAGGGTTTCCTTCTCGTCCTCTGTCTTGACCACATGGTCGTGATACAGAACTTCACCCGTCAGAAGGCCCTCTTCTATTTTGATGAGCTGCATGGTTAGACGAGGTCCGATCTCGTGTAGCTTAATGGAGCTCTTGTTGTCCTCCAAGTTGCCCTTGCTCTTAAGAGTTTGTGCCAGAACCACGTGTGACTGTTCGTCATCTTCGGCCTCTGATTCAGAAGCATAACCGTCCCTAAAAATAAAAATGATTATTTGATGGAATCAGAATAAATGAGCATTTCTTACTTGGTCACAAAGTCCACTACTTCGTTGCACTTGCCCAGATTGGGCACCGTTCCCTTGACGATCTTCTGTACCGCTCGCTTCAAGCCCACGGGCACAACCTGCACGGAGTAGTGCCGCATCTCGACTAGCTTCGTTTCCGGATTGTAGGAGAACAGGACGCAGCGACGAATGGTGCCAATATTGACCTGGGCCAAGTTGATGGAGGGAAACATGTTCTGGAACGTAGTGGCCATCAGCTTAAGGTGCTTGCCATCACCACTGAAGTTGTTCATGATGACCAGCGGTGCGTGTTTGAAGTGATCGTTGTCAATCATCTGCTTTTTGCTTAGTGAGATCACATCTCTGGCCAGGGTGAACTGGTGAACCTGCGAAAGGATAAATCCACGGTCAAAAATCTAATGGGACTAAGCGAAAAGCAAGCAAACCTTAAAAGTCAGGGACGGACCGCGCGGCAGGCGGACCACTTTGAAGGACAGCTGCGTGGAGGCCTTGTTGAAGATGCCCATGTGTGAGACGTGGAAGAAGCTGCTGAGGCTGACAAAGTCCTTGATGCGGTTCATGCGCTTCTCGCGCAGATTGCTGGCCGTGAAGGGCTCCATGATGCGGCGGAAGTCCAGGGTGAGGTCCGTAATGTATGGACAGGCGAGGCCGCGATGGATGACGAAGGAGTGCGGCGCCTCCACGATCTCGCTCGGCTCGCTGGCCTTGAAGGCCGCCGTGCGCGTCTTGGGATGCACTTTCTTTTTACCGCCCATGTTTCAATGTTTTTGTCCACTTTTCTCCCGCACGTGTTGGGATCAGTGTGGCTGCACGCGCGGAAAATACCGAGCGCCCACGCTGACGGAGGGCGTCTGGTCCCTCTAATATTATTTAAATTAGCATTCCCCGCCAACTGAATACGTTAACTTTTCTTTTATTTAAATTATATTTATTTAATCACACTTAACATAGCAAACACAAATGATGTTATTTCGTTTCATTTATGCATTTAAAGTTTTACAACTGTTCTTGTTTGATTTTTCTTTATCAGCTAGTTTTTACCAAGTGGCCAATCGTTTAAAATGTTGTGAAAACCGAAGAAGAAAGTCCGAGCTGCAGTGCTGTGGTAATGAATTGGCATTTGCATTTTAGTCGAAGGTTTCCGGTTGTTTGATGTTGTTCTTCTCGCGAAATTACAACTATATATTTATGTTGCGAAAAATTAATAATATTAATATTTTTAATATTAGCATATATGTATATTTATATAAATTATAGTTCTACAGCTTAAACTGAATTTGGAGTGTTTAGTTTTGCTTGCTTTCTTTCCGCGGCGGTTGATTTATGCGATACTCATTAAATCTGTATTTATAAAACTTCAGTTTAAACCGCAGTAAACTACAGCCGGATGTTGTTGCTTTCGATTCTGTTGCTGCTGCTGCTGATGGTGTTGGTGGTAGAGTGGCGGCTTTGATTTGATTTGACTTATCAATTTATGCACAAATGACAAACTGTGGCTGAAAAACACAAAGACCTCCAGTGCGGTCCAGGTCCATCGGTTATTCGCTGCTCCTGATCTTGATGTTGTAGTTCTGGCTGCTGCTGCTCTTCTTGTAGTTATAGTTGTAATTGTTGTTGCTTCTGTTTATGTTGCTGTTCTGGCGGTTGCGGGGAATAGCGAAAATTGCTTGGGGCGGTCACTGACAGCACTGTTTGCGCACATCGGCGGTGACAGTCGGCTTCACGTCGATGGGTTCCACGTTCGACGGGCGGATGACGTCGCCTTCCGGCGGATCTCTGATCTGTTTCTGCGACACAATGCGATAGATCTCTGAAAGAGGATTACAGGAGTCCATTAGTCTTGCTTCATTATCATTTATCTTGACTTTCAATGGAGCATTCATGGTACTCTCTTTCTGGAGTTAAGATTTATATACCAATAAGTCTTATAATAACTTATATATAGAGAGCAAATTATAGCAATACTTAATTTACTCTGAATAGAAAAGATTTAAACTGAATTGCGACTTTAAGTCAGGATTAGTAATATATACTTAATGTTCTTTTTAGGAAATATGACTAATATTTAAGCTGGTAGCTTAAAAATTTGGAATATACATTCTTAGAACATGAATAACATAAACATTGATCAATTTGTAAGATAGTCTACGCCTTGAGGAGGAAGATTGAACAACCTGCTGATGTCGATTGAAAATATACAGATGTGTCCTAAATTTAGTTAGAAAAGTATAATTTTTCCAATTCATGTGTTCATGAGATCGATAGTTTGAATGAAGGCTAAGTTATCCTGACCGACTCACCTGTGAGTATGTTCTGGAATGCCGTTTCAACGTTCGTCGAGTCAAGGGCCGAGGTTTCTATGAAACTCAAGCCGTTGCGCTCGGCAAACAGCTTCGCCTCGTCCGTGGGCACGGAGCGCAAGTGCCGCAAGTCGGACTTGTTGCCCACCAGCATGATGACGATGTTCTGGTCGGCGTGGTCGCGCAGCTCCCGCAGCCACCGCTCCACGTTCTCGTAGGTCAGATGCTTGGCAATGTCATAGACGAGCAGGGCCCCCACGGCACCGCGGTAGTAGGCAGAGGTGATGGCGCGATAGCGCTCCTGGCCGGCCGTATCCCAGATTTGCGCTTTAATTGTTTTGCCATCGACCTGCGATGGGTAGGCAAGGAGGACGAAACAAAGGACAGCATTAGAATAGTGACAGTAATTGGCAATTTTGCCACGATATGCCTGCGGCGCATTCGCTTTGAAAATTGATATACAAACGTGCTAGCTATCACCGTCAACATCGAAATTCAATTCTGAGACCTAACTGATATTATAAATGGTACATACGGGTACGCAAACCTAACTACGATCTATGGATACGCTTTTAACTTTACTGAAAGAACCCAGTTCGAAACTATTCGATATAATAAATATTAAGACGAACTACTACTTGTAATACTTATTTGAACATATACTGTTGTACACTAATATATAATTGTTATTGATCAGCTTTTGGTTGTTATTTCAGCACAAGTGACAACTATTATGTCAACATTTTGCCTAATCCCGCAAGATTTCTTTCTAAATTATGCAAGAAAGCCAATTGGCAATCCTTTATTTAGGAAAATTTTCGACACTTACTGAAATTGAACAAACTTTTCCCCCAATTTTCCGATAGACGCCTCAACTACGTGTCCTCCCACCGAAACGCACACGCAAGTTCACCCGTGACTACCCACCGTAGGTGCGGTGGATGACGGGGGTGGAGCTCCATTGGACACTCCACCCTCGAGTTCTTGGCCCCTCTACTCACCTCTATGCTGCGCGTTGCAAACTCAACGCCAATCGTAGACTTGGACTCCAAATTGAATTCATTGCGCGTGAAACGTGAAAGCAAATTACTTTTGCCAACACCGGAGTCACCGATAAGGACAACTGCAAAGGATTAGAGAGAATTAGTGACACCGACATTGGCATTGGATAATCGAAGACCCCTAGTTGCATAATTTATGTGGGTGTGTGGTGTGGCGAGGCCCGTGTCTTGTGTTTTACTGCCGGACAGAATGGCCGGCTAGGTCATGTCCTCCTTTCGCCGCTGGCACGGCGCACCAAGGTCATCGAGTACATAAAACCGCCATGCTCGGGGGATTTCAGGCCATGGAAAGAAATGCTTTATGATTGGGGCAGTAGACGTTCGGGAGTTCGTGTTATTGTGCTTCATTGCCAATAACAAACATTTCTTTGATAATTGAGTGGGGGTTATTTGAGCGAGCAAACAAGCATCGATAATAACTATCCACTGACCTTTTTATGTCTACATTTCTGTAAATAAATAATAATCCTAATATTTCTTTTAAAATACCAACTAAAATAAGTTTGACTTAAGATAACTTTCTTATGTGCGGCTTTAGATGTTGGCTATAAGCCAATATCTAGGTACTATGTTTACTGACTGTCTGTCTATTAATTTTCATTTTTGACACCCTTTTCGGACATTGTTGATTCAGCATGTTTGCTAATCCATTGAGAAAACAACAACTAAAACTCATCAAACACCTTTTCGCTCTATCGCTATGGGCATATCTGCACGGAGAAAAGCTTGAACACTGGTTCTTGTGTTTGTGGTTTAGACTACAACGGCATTAGGATATGAATCTGAAGTTTGATGGGAATTGAGCTTCAAAAATAAATTTTACTACATTTTGACTCAATATACATAGGTAGCGAAGTAAGAGGAACAGAGTTTTCTTGTAGTGTGGACAGCTGGGACAAGCGTGGTTACAGTTATCAGTGAGAGAGCTGAGTCACTTTGTTTTCTACTCTCTTCCTCAGCGTTTAAAACGATCTTCAAAGAGAAATTGCACTTAGTTAAGCGGATGCGCCGGGAAATTAAAAGGGTAGGAGTGGTAATCAACGGTCATTACGTGTAGTGGGAATGGCTCGAATAACCCGAATACGGCCCACTTTTTGTTCTGTGATTATGCGCTTATCGTTGACTGGAATTCTTCAACAGTTTGTGGCTGAGTCATGCCCGTTTAATATTGTTTCATGTGTGAAATTTGAGGCCTCATCATGCATACCGCACACTGACGCATTATTATGGTGTTTTGATGTACTTGTTAGGATACTTGACCCAAAAAAAACACCAGATAAAGTTTTAAATATTTGACATTATATGTGCTACAGCAATTTCCATTATTAACATTCAACAGTTGCTCATTTGTGATAGCAGAGATTTGCAAGCGCAATTGGAATTTATGGCGTAGTAGAAAATGAAGGGAACAAAGAGCTGAGAATTTATGACCTCTGTCCATATGTACATAAATGGGGAAGATACGGGATAAAGGTCTTGTTTTCTACCTGCAAATACATCACTTGGCCCTACTGTGCTCCAAACTTTCAATTGAGAGCGGGTGGAAAAGAGAGCACGAGAGAGAGAGCGAGAGAGCGAGCTACTAAACGAAGTTACAAGAAACCATTGCAAAAGCCAGCTGTACAGAAATCATAATACCCACACTCTCGCTCTATTTACTGGACGTCTAATCAAATTAGAAATTTGAGTGGGTGAGCAAGCCTAAAAACTACCATAAAAAGCGATTATAAATACGATCTGCTTGGCTTTTGTATGCAACGTGGCGAGACCAACGGAACTGTAATGACAAATCAAGCAGTTAACGGCAAAGTACGCGTACTCCAATCCAAAAGAGAACCCCAAAGAGATGGAGATAGGCGGAGTGAGAGCGGGAGAGCCACCAAAGGGCATCCAACTGCAGCAGCAGCGGCAGCAACAACAACAAACTCGGGGGGCGTACTTCTTATTTTGGGAATTAATGACACTCACGCAAACAAACACACCACATACCATCACATGAACTTTGGGCTCTTTGAGTGCACTTTTTGTTATTCTCCAATTAGTTTCAATTAGTGCCATTGAACCACTGCCTCTCAGGGGAGGTAGAAGAGAGAGCCTGGAAGTGCGGCTCCTGCTCCCGTGATCTTCACTCAGCGGCTAGAATCATGTTTATAATTACCTTTGAACAGATAATCGTACTCGTCTTCTCTTGCACCCATTTTGCTCAATTTGTTTTGCTATCGCTCGCTCGATTCGATATCCTTTGGAAATCCAGTTCCGTCCTTTTTGTTTTGTGTGTGCGGGTGCTAAACGAAATCCAATAATCCCTGCGCGCCGCCGATTTCTTTAATGCGTTTGTCGTTGGCTCACACACTTTACACTTTTATTTGTAGTTGTAGTTGTAAAGAAAGAGAAAAGTGTATATATCAGTATTCGAGTAGCGAAATCGGTTGCTCTTCCAGCTCGACTGCGTTCGAAAATGCTGGCAGGACTTGTCCGGCAATTGGAGCAGTATTAATTGGACATCCGCAGCTGCTTGCAGCGCATTTATTTGCAATTTTCTCTTACACGAAAACTTAGTCACTCCCAATAACGTCACGTTATAATTCCAACGAGACTAGAGATGTTAAAAAACATCGGTACAGCGAGCATTTCGGCGATGGTTATCGATTTCTTTTATAGCGATAGTACGATGTTGTGAAAAGCTTAAGTTACACAATTTTATTTATCTTAAATTTCACAGTTTTATTTTTTATTAATATGAACATGTCATATTCATTTTTTTTATTAAAAAGGTTTCTTTAACTAACAAATTTTTTAAAAAAGTTTATGAAAACATATCTAATATTTGTTCTTTTTTACCCAAGTAAAATATAATAAATATAAAATATTATTTTGAAACACCAACATACGTATGTGTATCATCATCGATGTTTTCACAAAACTTGCATCACTATATTAACGAGATGCCTGTTTTGGTGTTACCAGATGGTACGATTCCCATTGCCATCTTGCTTAGTCGTGACCTATATTGAATTAAAAAAAAGCTGAAATCCTTTCTGAGGACTTTTTAAGCACTAAAAATCTGTTAAGATAACAAAACATCTCAAATATTTATAACGTTACAAAAAAATGGATCTTCCAGTATCAGTAACTATTATAGTACTTAATTTAAAAATATTAAATCCCAAAACAATCCCAAAGAAAATAATCCCTGTATACAAATCGGAGTAAAAAGGTTTTTATTTAAATATAAAATACTTGTATAAAAACAATAAATTAAGTATAATGTGCAGCTAATACTTGCGTTGATATCTAGTGTGATTTATGTATAAACTCTGTTCTTATTGCACCTAAATGCGAGCGCGTTGCAAGGCCACGGCTGGATAAATGAGCAAAAGTCCGCCGGCTATATAGGTGATCCTCGAGCCCACGCACCAGAAGGCTATGAAGGATTTACGAGATCAGAAAAGGTATTATCATAGGACAACTTAGCAGCTCACCAATGCACCCCACCACGGGACCCAGAGCACGAGCCAAAGCTCCCAGTGAGCGGAATATGCCCAGTACTGAACCCTTCTGGTCATCGTTTCCGTATTTGGATACGAGGGTGGTCAGACAGGTGACAGCGAAGGCTGTGGAGATTGCGAATAGAGTCATGCCGGCGTAGAGCATCCGACTGCCCTCGGCCAGGCCGACTATTACGAAGGCAGGTACAATGAGGTACAGACTGAAGATGGCATAGCCCTTGATCTTCGCCTCGGGCAACCGTCGGACCACAGATCCCTGCAGCAACGTCATTATTACACCTATCGAAAAACCCAATTTTAATTAGGAATATAGATAATCACCTTATTTCCATACCTGTTGTAAGAAACATCTTCGCCTGATCCATCGAAGTGTAACCAAATTTATGGTACATCAGAAATGTGACGGTGAACTCCAAACCGGAATACAGAAAGAGATAAAGGAAATATATCAGGCCAATGGATCGCAGGGCCGCAATGTCTTTCCTGGGCACATTTTTGATGGCAGCAAATCTGGGAGTAGAAGAATTCTTTTGAAATATGATTGTACAACCCAGACATAATCATTGGTAGTCTTCGAGGTAACTGGACTCCAATCTCTGTAACTACTATTAATCAAACCATTTGCCAACCGATAAGGTAATCAAACAAACGTGTCCGAGAACCCGGCATGATAATAATGTCTATCAAACCAGTCAGGCAAGTCCGGAGGCTTGCAGTTCTCGCCGAAAGACGATTTCGGTTAGATCACAATACAGGTTTTCGAAACATGCTAATTAAAACAATGTGTTACCTAAATATGGCCCTAAAGTTGAGCAACTGCAGGCCATACGACAGGGCAGATGATATCTCCTTAACACGTTTCTCCTGCGAAAATATCACACAATTAATTGTGCTAGCGATAATTACTTTAGCCAACCAAACGCACCTTCGGCAAAGTTTCCCGCAGACAACACGCCAGGACCAGCAGATCTCCAACTGCCAGGCCAAACGCCAGCAGAGAGGGCAACACGAACCAAGTGCTTCCACTTTTATCGGAGAATATGGCGAACAGGGCACCGATCATGGGCCCCACAATAAAGCCCAGTGAGAAGGCCACGCCCACAAGGGCCATTCCGCGTCCTCGGGTCTTTACGCTGGACACATCCGTAATGACGGACATGCACAGCGATATGTTGCCCTTGCTGATGCCGCCCACGAAGCGGGCCAAAACGAACAGGGCAAAGTTGCTCGAGCAGGCCCAGAGCAGATAGGATAACGCAATGCCGGTCTGGAGATGAAAGAAGACAAGTACATAGATAAAATATTACAATATGTGCAATATTCTAATAGGAATGGTTAGAGTTAATTATTATTTTAATTTTGACATGACAAGTTGCACGCTTTTGGATTAAACTCGGGATTGCATGAATTGTTGATAATGCCAAATGAAAACTAACTAGTTTAAGTGCATATTAAAGCAGCCAGTACCAGGATTACTTACCGCACAAACCAGCAGGACTGGTTTTCTTCCGTAGTAATCCGAGAGTCCTCCTACAATCGGACTGGCCACGAACTGCAGGAAACTGAACATGGAGCCGAGGAAGCCCCCAAATAGCACCGATATGTAGCGCTCCGGGGCGCCAAGGAGCTGCTGGAACCAGCGCACCCGATCCGTGAGCACCGCATACAGGCCGGAACTGTCGTTCTGGCGATAGTGCTCCAACAGCGACGGCAGCAGAGGCAAAATAATGGTGAAGGCCAGTAAGTCGAAGAGCAGCGATACGAAGATTATATATATCATGGGGTCACTCTTCTCCGGCTTTCCATTCGCGGATGCTTCCTTATCCAACCCTCTATTGTTGTTGTGGTGGCTTCCGGTTTGGATTTGGCTTTCCTTCTCCACGGCAACGGTTCCATTGTGGCGACTCCGTAGGTCGGCCATCTTTTCTGGTTGGGTGTTAGCTTGTGCCGTGATTGCGTGCGTGTACGGGTGTTACTGCAACATAACTGTATCAACGGAACCACAACTTCACCGACAACTCTTGGCCCTCTCAAGAAGCGGCCAGTCAAGGCGAAGCCAAAGTGAAAGTTGAATAGCAACAGCTGTTCCAAGGGAGACTACAACGAGCAGACTGCACTCCAACCTGTTGATTGCTGGAGATATTTGAAAAGTAGGCGCCAAACTAAGTTAGAAAAACCTGTAATTAAGAGCAGTCAAAAGTCCGATGCAGTGATCGTTGTTTAATTATTCTTAGCCACAAAAAAAAAATGATATAGGCGAGCCTAACGAATACTGAAGTGTTAAGTTTTAAATATGGAATTTATTTTTATATGAAATTATTTAAAAAAGAAGGTAAAGAAGGATAAAAACAGATGCGATTGTCATTGACATTTTCATCGTTAGGCAATATTAGGTTTTGGAAATATATTTTAAAATTAAGTAAATTAATTATCATAATCGATGGCTAGTTTTTAACGTTATGTTTATGATTTTTCGTTTTATTTATATATTTTATACAATCCTTGAGTTAATTACTCTTTCCTATATAAGGTTGGATTTGAAACAAAACATACCGCCTAAATATTCATATCGCCCACCACCGCCTAGTATCGAAAGTCCAGACTCGATAACAACTAGAAAATGTTCGATATACCGTACCGATAAGTCGGCGAAATAATTGTTCATTAAGTTTGGGTACGAGTTTGTTTAAAAGTAGAAAAAGAGCGTCATAAGATGTCCAAGGTGACCGTGCAAGACATTGAGGCGGTGGATGACTATTGGGGACCGACATTCCGTTCGATCCTCGAAGGTGACTGTGAATAGAAGCAATAATGTCCACATTGTTTACGCCCTTTTCCTTTTTTTTCGGCCAGGCAACAACACTAAGCAGATTGGGGATCAACTGGAGCAGCGGATTCGCAGCCATGACAAGGAGATCGAGCGGATCTGCAACCTGTACTATCAGGGCTTTATCGACTCAATTCAGGAGCTGCTCCAGGTGCGCACGCAGGCACAACAGCTGCACAACGAGGTGCATTCCCTGGACACGTCCCTTCGCCAGATCAGTGCCTCTCTGATTCAGCAGGGCAATGATCTAGTACGAGCCCGTCAGATCGAATCCAACCTGGCCAGCGCCATCGAGGCACTCAAATCCTGTCTGCCTGCATTGGAATGCTACATGAAGTTCACACATCAGGCCAAGAATAAGCAGTACTACCAGGCGCTAAGAACTCTGGAGACCCTGGAGACGGAGCACTTAACGCGTCTAAAAACACACAACTATCGGTTTGCCACTCAAATGCAGATACAGATTCCCATAATCAAGGAAAACATCCGTCGCTCTTCTGCCTCGGATTTCCGAGAGTTCCTCGAGAACATCCGCAAATTTTCGCCCCGCATCGGCGAGTTGGCCATCACACACACCAAAAAGCTCCAAAAGCGGGATATCAACGCCATCATTGCCGAGCACATGCAGCAGGTGAATGGAGGCGAAGCTGAGGGAGCAGGTGCTGGAGGGGATGATGATGGCGCCAACGTTAGTGCCCAGGACCTCATTGACTTCTCCCCCATCTACCGCTGCCTACATATCTATATGGTTCTGGGGCAGCGGGAGTACTTCGAGAAAGACTACCGTCAGCAGCGCAGGGATCAGGCCAAACTGGTGCTTCAACCGCCGCCCAACATGCACGACAATTTGGAGGCCTACAAGACTTACATCTGTGCCATTGTTGGCTTCTTTGTGGTTGAAGATCACGTGAAGAACACGGCGGGCGATGTCGTGACCAGCAGTTATTTGGAGGATCTGTGGTCCAGCTCGCTAACCAAGTTTGTCAACGAGATCAGCATGAGTTCTTCGTCCTGCACCGATCCTAATATTCTGCTGCGCATTAAGAACCTCATAATGCTTTCCATCAACACCTTTAAGTGCTACGGTTACACCGTAAGCATCCTCTGGGAACTACTGCATAACATGCGGGATCATTATAATGAGGTGAGCTTTGAGATATACTATAATAAGGCTTCTTATGTTTTGTAAAAATTGGAAGAATTTCGGTATGCGTAAGATGTGCTTATGCTCTCTCTGTTTTCATTTCTAGGTGTTACTGCAACGCTGGGTGCATGTATTCCGCGAAATTCTCGACAAGGAACAGTTCCTGCCTATGGTTGTGCAAAACACGGAAGAGTATGAGTGCATCATCGAACGTTTCCCCTTCCACTCGGAACAGCTTGAGAATGCTCCGTTTCCAAAGAAATTTCCCTTTTCGAGAATGGTGCCAGAGGTATATCACCAGGCCAAGGAATTCATGTACGCCTGCATGAAGTTCGCCGAAGAGCTCACCCTATCGCCCAACGAGGTGGCCGCCATGGTGCGCAAGGCGGCCAACCTTCTGCTCACGAGAAGTTTCAGTGGCTGTCTATCTGTGGTGTTCCGCCAACCAAGCATTACGCTAACGCAGCTCATCCAGATCATAATCGACACGCAGTACTTGGAGAAGGCAGGACCGTTTTTGGACGAGTTCGTGTGTCACATGACCAACACAGAGAGGAGCGTATCTCAGACACCATCGGCCATGTTCCATGTAGCCCGGCAAGACGCCGAAAAGCAGGTTGGCCTACGTATTTGCTCGAAAATCGACGAGTTCTTCGAACTAAGCGCCTATGACTGGTTACTGGTAGAACCGCCGGGAATAGCCTCCGCCTTTATTACGGATATGATTTCTTACCTTAAGAGCACCTTTGACAACTTCGCCTTCAAGCTGCCCCACATTGCCCAGGCAGCCTGCCGACGCACCTTCGAGCACATTGCAGAAAAGATTTACTCGATCATGTATGACGAGGATGTAAAACAGATTTCCACCGGAGCACTCACACAAATCAACCTGGATCTAATGCAGTGCGAATTTTTCGCGGCTTCGGAACCTGTGCCAGGTCTAAAGGAAGGAGAACTGAGCAAGTATTTCCTGCGCAACCGACAGCTTTTGGACCTGCTCATACTAGAGGAATGGAGCACATATTTCCATGACTATGGCAAGCAAGAGAACCGCTATCACCTGGTGCAACCTCAGTCCATTATTGTGATACTGGAAAAGATCCGCGAGGCGGACAAGAAGCCCATTTTTTCGCTGGTGCGAAAGAACGATAAGAAGAAACTTTTAGAGACGGTGCTCAAACAGCTAAAGCACATCGCCGATAGGCAGAATTAGAAAATGTAGGCTGCTAGTTGCGGGCTTAAGCAGATACTATTTACTCAAGCTGTTCCATTGTTGTATCCGTGTAATCATTAACTTTATAGCTTGTAATCTTTATTATTTAGGCTAATTTGAGTTTTCACATGGAAAAAGTATTTAGTTCTCATTACTTTTGATTCGATTTGTTTTTATAAAAGACAAATTTCAATTGAAACTGCTCGACCCGTTGAACGTGTAAAATTGTATTTTGAATTTTGATTTTTATGTACAAAAGGGCAGAACTTTAGCAGTTGCCTACGTACGGATTGTTGATAAATACAAAACGAAAACGACATAAATTAAAACAAACGGAGATGAACGTCTAAATAACAAATTGTATATAATTATTAGATGAATGTAGCGTACGTGTATTGTGTAGGTATATTCCGCAAATCGTAATAAACTATCTTCTAAGTTACGTATATGCGTTGTTTGTGTTGCTTTTGTCAACTCTTCGTTTCGAGATGCTTGGGCGCGTCCGCATAAGTGAACTTCAGGCGGAATGCCTCGGCCAGCAGAACGTTGATTTGGCGATCGGACCAGTTGTGTGTTGGCAGATTTTGTAGCAGCAACATGAGACCCTGCCTCCGCCAGAAATATCAATGATCAGTAGACGTTGCAGGATGTGAATCTTATCAGCAACTCACCTGGAAATCGTTTTGTTGCATCAGCTGCTCCTTCCAGTGCAGAAGGAATGCCGCGCACACGTACAAGTGGAACAGGGCAAAGCCGTCGGACTCTGCAAGATATGTGTCCCACAACCGGATGGTGCAGTGAAGCGGCAGCTCGCGTGTCAGCAGATTGTTCATCCAGCGGAATGAGAATTGCAAGTAGTCGACGCCATGCGCCTGTAGATGACGGTGTAAGTTCACTGAAAACAGAAAATATATTTTATTATCATCACTCGTCAACTGTAGGTTGCATGCCAATTTGCTTATCTAGTTATTAATATCTGTTCCGAAAAGTTGCGATCATTTTAATGTTGATACGAGTCATTGCATATTTTCCAAAACCTATGTTACGCCATATAAGCTTAAACTAATTTTTCTGGAAAACCTGTATAAATTTGTAAAATTAAAAGCATCTTTAATATCTTTGACAGGGTACATCAAAAAGGCTTGACTTTGATGAGGCTATTTGCTTTGAACAAGCCCAAAGGTTTCCCACTTATCTTATCACAAGTGCATTAACATATCTCCATCTATATTTGATCACCTTCATTGCAAAGTAATCTTGATGTGGCGTTCTACAACATGCCAAAGGTAAAATGTTTCCACTCACCGTCAATGCGCTGAATCAGATCCTTGAGTTGGTTAACCTTTTCCTGTATGCCCAGCTGGGCAAAGATGTAGTTATCCTGAATGCAGTCGAGAAACTTAGATAAGCACCAAAACGAGTCCGCCTCGATAATATTGCGAGTCTCCTCGGGCAGCGTGGACATGTCGTACTTCTCGAGATCCGTATTCGGCGTCAAGGCCTCCTGAAGAAAGACGATAAAGAAGGGCGTGACCAGGTCGTTGATGCCCTGCACGTAGCCGGAGGCAGGATGGCGAATGGCCCAGATAAAGAGAATGCGCTCGAACATCTCCTGAACGAGCTGCTGCTGGAAGAGCGGAATCTGGGGATTCATTCGTGGCACATCGATGTGGATCTGGCGGTAAGTGTCCTGCTGCGTTTCATCCTGGCTATCCACCCGAAAGTAGTTGTGTCTGAGGTCCTGGTAGCCCTGCCGCTTGCTCTCCAACACAGCCATCCTTCGCTCACTTGAAGGCGGAAGATACTTCGAAAGGAGTCGCCAGCTGACAGCGCGCATCTAGAGTGCGGTTTTTATAGAATTGCACAACGATTAATCAATTGATTCTCACCTTCCGAGGCACACCAGACCAACTGATCTTCTTGAGAGCCACCAAGTCGAGTTGGGGCGAGTCTAGCACCACTTGGAATTTTTCAATTTTTGTTTCGTACTCGCTGTCCGGGCAATTCGAGCTGATCTTCTGCAATTGTGGTCTTCCCGGGTAATTCCTCAATCTAGATCTGAAATGACAATTACTGTTACTGACAGTTAAGAAAGTGGAATGCTTCAGGAGCGGTTGCCAAGCAAGTTGGTTAACATTTGTTAAAAAAGGGGAATGACAATTACAAATAGGGAGCGCCTAATGGCTAAAAACATATGTAATTTTAATTTAAAGCCTCTTATTTGGGAAGTATCGCTAAACTCTAAATTTATTGGTTCCATTTCTTAATTTTGTACTTTGATAATAAACACATTATTCCATAGTTCAAACATATAAAACCAATTCATTGCTTTTAGCATTTTTAAATATCTACTTGGAAAAAAAATTCAGAAAGCGGCTTTGAACCGCTACACCCCTGACTTGTTTGCACAACTGCAGGCGTTGGGTTAAACTTTCTTTTTGACTTCCCAGTTGAGTTGGCGCCGCTCACCTGTTTTCGTTACTGTCCGGCAAAGATCTCCGGTCTTCTTTGCAGTCGTCCGTCGAGCTACTGCTGACTGGCCCCAAATCTGCGCCACTTTCGTTTGCTGACCGGGATGCATTATGGTTCTGGTTGCTTCGAGAGTGCGTCTCGATCACGTTGAGAGCCACCGTCTGCGACACTTGCCGAGAGAAACGAGCAGCATCTGTTGGGGAATCAAAACGGGATCATACATTGAGGAAAACCTTCTTGGTTGCGAAACTTTTACCGCCGCCAGCTCCAACGGCCGCCGCAGCCGCCTCCGTGCTGCTGATGATGCAGAACTCGTCGTCACCCATGTCCCAGGCATCGCTAACCGACTTCTGGTACTCGGTGAAGGTGGACACCATGCCACTTCCGGGGGCAGCGCCGCGACCGACCGCTACCCCAACTGCCGCCGCCTTCTCGAGCTCCCGCTTGGGACTGGGCCGTCCGGGCACTCGACGTCCGCTGTTTTTCCAAAAGGTCGAGGGGTTTGCGCCGGGCGTTGGTCCCGCTCCACTTGCCCCGGATACTGGTGCTCCTCCTGCTCCTGGTGCTCCTATTGTTGCTGCTGTGGAATCCGCTGTTTCTGTTTGGCTCTTTGCTGGTAACTGCTCTACATTGTTATCCATTATACGTCCCCTAGGCCGATTCTATGTCAGCGTCATTATTTTATTTTGCATCAAAACAGTGTGACCATCGCAGTTATTCACGGCTTTCACCGCATGACTATCTTGGTAGTGATGCGAATATGAGGTGATCAAGTGACTCGGGCCAAGCCGACGAAATTAATACACATTACTTGCGGAGGAGAGGATATAATCGATTCCGATGGATTCTTCGGGCAGCCATTTATATTTTTATAAATTAAATCAAGTTTTCCAAAACATATAAGTACTAGATCTTTGATTAAAATATATAAAGATGTATGCCTAAACCAAAAAGTTCCCTGTCTATAATTCATTGCTATCATGACAACATTTTGCTTTTCGTTGGTATGTTTTATTATTTTACGATAATAGCATTACTTATTAGTTACGGATAAAAACAAACTATCCAATTGCCCGGTATATGTTTCGATCCGTGACTTCGCCCGCTTACCTGGCAACTCTGGCGAATGCGCTTCGGATTTTGATTGCAAACGTGCACGGCCACCCAATGCAAAACAAGTGTCTTTCGGCGTGATAAGAACCAGAACCCGCAATCAACGATTTAATTATTTGGTGGAATAATTGCAAGTTCCAAAACTATGCCATAAGGAGCAATCGCTATTAAAGCAGTCAGTGTGGAACCAGCAAGATGCAGAAGCAAGAGGAGGTGCTGTCGCGCCTGCGGACGATATTCGACATATTTTTGCGCGAGAACTTTTCCACTACCAACAATGTTTACTTTGAGAAGCTCCTCACACACTTGCAGGCCAAGGGTGAGTTTACCAATCGGAGTGGCCCTGCTATCTGCCATCCAATCCTCAATTAAATCCTATCTGCCCGTAGAGAACGCCTTTGTGCTGCAGGCCCCATTTGTGGTGGAGTGGGTGGACAGGTGCATCACAGCGGTGACCGAGGACTTTAACAAGATCCACCCAAAAGTAATATCCTTTATGCTGAATCTGACCAGTTTTCTGGCGAACAACGAGTGGATGATTGTGCGCCTAAGGGAGCTGGATATAGTAAACAGGTGAGGGTCAGGATTAAAAAGCCTTGCTCTAATCTCTTCAAATTAATCCACTGCCATTTTAGAGCAGTAAAACTCCTACAGAGGGAACATAACTTAAGCCCATCAATAAAGCTAGGCGGGATACGTCTGATGAAAGCCATCACCGTGTATAGCATGGTTCTGGCCTTTCTGCGGATGCACCGCATCTGGACGCTGCTCATCCAGTATTCCAACAACGATCACACGTTGTACGTGGTGCGGGAGGCCCGCCAGGTGCTCTACAACATGCTGTACAAGTCATGCGACAAGCTGCACGACAAGGCTGTTACCCTGGAGATTCTGTCTGAGATTATGCAGCCGATTCACGACAATCTGTATAAAAACACCGACGGCGTGGAGCGCATACACATCAAGGTGGATGACAACGAGTTGTTGCACAAGATCTCGGCGACACTGGATCTGCTGTCCTACATACTACAACAGACCCTCATTCTCGAGGAGCGCACCACTTTGATAACCCTGCTCAAGGAGTATCACGATTTCGAGATTACCATTTGGAAGCTGATCGATATGACCCACAACCCGTACTTTATTGAGAAGATTTTCACCACGCTGAGCAGCTACAACTTTGCGCTGCTCTTGCATGAAAAGCTGCTAAATCCGGACGCTACCGAGCCCCCTGAAGAGTTTACCGAGTTCGGGTTGGCATTTTTTAATCTCATGAAATTTTTTATTACTCGCAAGGATGGCTTAAGCTTTGTGAAGTTGGCGGAGCTTAATCATGTGCTGTGGAAAAAACTGGGACCCCGTGCGCCAAAGGAAATTGTCATTCAACAAGAACGCGTTACGTTTGAAAACCAGCTTATCTGCTTTCATATGCTGCCGTTGCTCTTCTCTATGAAGTATGCGCAGAAGGTCACCGACGAAGAGAATAAGGTAGAGCTCTTCGACGCCTATGTTGTCAAGTTGCTGGAGATCTCCTGCGAACAAACCTTGCGGCTCTGCTACACAATGAGGGATACCTTCTTTTCTGCAGATGGCATGGCTGTTGGTTTGGTGACGGCCGGTCTGGCAAACAAATGCATACACAGTCTGCTGGCTCTGGAAAACGTTCTTGATCGGGAGCAGGCGATTACTGTGTGCCAGGCTTTGCTATATGTGCTCCGCGAGGCAGTAGCCATGAGTGTAATTACAAACAATGCACAAGATGACTGTCACAGCGTAAGCAGCGCAGGCAGCTCTTACCTAGAATTGTATCCCCGGGGCACCGAACAGGTCGTCAACGATCCACAGGTTTTGCATTCCGTAATGGTGGGTTTGCGCACCTTGATCGAACGCTTCAAGATCACGTGGAAGGAGTCGGTGGAGACCATTGGCCTCGTCAATTGTCTGGCCTTTGTCCTGGAGAACACAAACATGGATGCCAGAGTAAGCAAAACAAAGTTTCATTCCTAGTGTGTTAATGTTTCAGTTACATTTTTTTCTGTATTTTCAGTGCACGGTGCAGGCGCTGAAGCTCGTCCAGTTGGCTGTGGAACACTTCCTTTCACCGAACATGGCTCTTTTGGTAGACAACTTGCAGGGCTCCGCACTGGTCTGCCTGGGTCCCATTATCGTGAAGCGAATGCACGACACAATGTGGGAGGTGCGTGACACAACGCTGGAGCTCACCACCTCTATTGCCAGTATCTCCCGAATCAGTAAGCTTGCTATTATCTTAACGTATTGCATAACTTTAATGATACGTTGCTCCTGTAGAGTTTCCTGCTTTTCAACGGTTTCTCATCGACTCAAAGATACCTCCGATAGTTTACGAAATGGCCAAGAATGACTCGGAAGTCTATGTCCGAGCGTCTGCTTTCAAATGTCTTTCCCAAATGGTATCCATAAACCTTTTGTGGGAGAATGGTCTAAGCCAACTCGATCTTGTGGTGAGTTCATCTATTTATATGCCCAAAAATTATTAGGTAAACTCTTTAATATCCTGACAGGACCATCTTCTGTTTGTAATGTATCGAGAGAACAACGATATCGTAAGAGCTGAGGCCGTGATTACGCTGATGAAGATCTATGAGCACCGTAAGATCCACGAGAAGTACAAGAACACGCTCTTCTCAACCCTTAACTATTGTGTAATCGGGGATCATCACACGGAGGTGAAGCTGAATGCGCTGAATTTTTGGCGCCGGGAGTTCTACCGCCAGTTCAGCAATCAGGGCATGATAGATGGCTCTTTTCCCACAGTGACCTTCTCTAAGGAGCAGAAGAAGATTGTCACGCTGACGGAAAAAGAAATCCAAACCAGCATTGCCAAAGTATTTGGTGAAGTACAACAGTACGGATATTTTGGCATCCTACTCAAGTGCCTGCGCGAGGAGACTTCAATGGAGGTTCTAGAATTCCTTATAAAGGGCGTCAAGATCATGACGGAAAAGTTCGTGCGCTACAAAGGCATAATGGAGGAGATTGAAATGAGATCCCCGCTCTCGGACAGAGAGCGGCCAACATTCGACTTCCCTTGCCAAGCGCAGCCAACTTTAATTCCGCAGCAGCCACCGGTCAATCTCACCGAGGCGGACGAAGTCATCGAGTCCATATTGAACTCGCAGGATGTCCAACTCCTGGAGAAGGCATTTGAGACCCAGATGCAGATAAACGAGGAAGGAAAAACAGCAGAGAAGCGGCACATCGATGAGTTTTACTATAAGCAGTTTGCGGTGCCATTGCGGCAGTTCTTTGAGGAACTTAAGACCATTGACCTGGACCAGTTGGTCAAGCAGCACCAGGAGTGGTTCGAGTGCAAGGAGAACTTTACCTCCCTGCTGGATGACATCCTCGGTGCGCTGAAGCGCGACGATGAGAACATGATTTCGGACTGTTACTAATCCCGAGCTAAGCCGTTTTCCAGTCCAAACCTCTCTGTGAAGTAAGCTAAAAGTGTTTTTCCGTGAAATAGAAAATATTTTTGATAACTAAGTTCTGAACACAAAATGAGATTTTATTTCGCCGACGAGACAAAATAAATAATAATAGATTACCAAAATAATGATTCAAATAAGACATATTTTTGGTAAAAAAAACATTCAGAATCAAGACGTCCTAATTTTAAACGATTTTATTCCATTTCTAAATCGTTAGTGGGCTGGTCACACTGTTCGCGTCGTGTTTGTTTTGGTTCTCTGTTGGTGGTGACACACTTTTACAGCGATGTGAAACGAGTTGTTATCGATAAATTCATGGGAGAAACTATTTCCAAACTTTTACAGAAATATACTAGATTGATTTTAAAATTTTGAGAACATATACCACAAATAGAGTATAATATCGATAAGTGTTACTTTATCCGATAATATCGGGTAGTATGCGCAATCGATAGTGCCGGCACCGAACCTTTCCACTATCGAAGAGCCTATCGACTTTGGCACATCTTCAGCGCATAGATGCAGCGAAAAGCGAATCGTCTCGCGTTCGAATTTGTACGCACTGCAGCATAAATATTAAAAAAAGCGCTTTGAACATGCAGTTGCACAAACGGAGAGCCAAGCAAAAATATGGCCAGTGAATTATGTCATAAATGTGAAAGTGTTAACAGTTGCACTGCAGCGGCATCCAGAACAACAACAACAACAGTAGCAGCAGCAGCAATAGCAACATAAAGTGCACGCATGTGAAAAGAAGTGCGAGTGTGTAGAAAAAATCAATTGAGAAGGAAATTGCATACTCGCTATCGCACTTGAAACGAAAATAAGTGAAAGAAAATAATATATATATTTATATATATAAAGTGCGTTCGGGGTGTGTGCGTGCTTGCGCGTGTGTGTGTGTGTGCAAGAAAAGGAGCAAGAAGCAGCAGCAGCAGCAGTAGAAATAGCAAAAGGAGGCAGCAAAAACAACAAGCTAGAGAAGCCCGCCAGCAGCAACAACAACCAGCAGCAGCCCCCTAATAAAGCAGAGAAAAAAATGAGTTCAAGTTGTGAAAGGTGTGTGCCGTTACACTACAAACTACAACACTACCATCAGCGGCAGCAAAGAAATACAACAACAAATACGGCAATCTCCAGACAACGCGAATGTCGAAATTGTGTATACAATTTATTAGGAAAGCAAGAGCAGCAACGACAATGACCAACTGCAGATGCTTTTGTTAAATAAATCGCTGTCTTGACTGCAGAAAATTTCCATGCAGTGCGAGTGGGTGGTAAAAGGAGATGGTGGGCGTGAACATGGGTGCGAGAGGAGAAGGAAGAGTGTTCGGAAGAAGCCGCATTTGCCTGCCAGAGTGTGTGCGTGCGTGAGAATGCGTGTGTGGGTGGTGACTCTCCCTCCCTGCGTGTCTCTCTCTCACTCTCTCTTGTCGCGTGCATTTTCCTTTACCTTGATTAAATTCCTGATTTATGCACTTTTTGGCTCTTTTTGTGGCCCGAGGCGCCTGCAAAATCGATTTTCTGGCAAGGCGCGGCAACAAGCGTCGTCCGCCAAATGTGCCAAATGGAGAGAGCCAGAGAGAGTACTACTAGCACTTACACCCTCTTTCGCTCACCTCACCCAATCTCTCCGAACTCCCATTCTTGGCCAAGCGAGTGTAAGTGTGAGTGTGTCAGGACTGCAATTTTCAAATAAGGAAAAACCGGATAATGCTCGACTAAATATGTTTGTCGGCATAGAGAAAAGACCAATTGAATGGGGGAAAACCGGCACACACACACACAAAACACACACGCACATAGATGCTACGCACAATGTCGATTTTGGTCAACTTTTTGGTATCTCCTATTAATTTGCCTCAATGAATGCCCTGATATTGAATGAAACATTTGTTTGCTGGGAGATTTGGCCGTTGTTGATTTTTGCTGCCGCTTTTGAGGGCGTTTTTCACCAAGTTTCGAGTCTCGAAAAACTTGACTGGCGGCTGGCATTCCTAAGATACATTTTTCGGCCGCTCGAAAATAGAAGCAATCGCATTTTATGTCTTATTTATGTGTATTTCTTGCCTTCTCCGGATCCCCATCTTCTTGTTTGCTCCGGACCAGCAGAATAGAATGGGTAGAAATCATCGAGCCTCGCACCAAGGAGCACATGTACGCCAATCTCACCACGGGCGAGTGTGTTTGGGATCCACCAGAAGTAAGTACAAGTCTCTAAAGTTGTATATTTATGTGTATCAGCAAACAATTGCTCTAAAATCGTGTACCCAATCGAGGCTATCAGTGACTTTAGCAATATCTCAAAATCATATGAAGACATTGTTGAGTTAATGTCTCACTTATTCTGCCAAGGTTATTGGTTAGCATTATTCATTATAGCTCTATAAAGAATATTCAATTTTAATTATATGTTCCACGTCAACAACTTTTCAAACCGTATGAATCTACATCACTATATTTATAATATCATCGTTATGCTGTTCAGAGAAGTACATATTAGGGCGAACATCATGAATCTGAGTATTAATCGTCGGTAAAACCGACTTATAGTTACGAGAAGTCAACAGTTTCCATGTCTTATCTTACGCAGCACAAGATGTTTCAATGCTTACGGGGTTCAGTGACCACGCTCACTTCATTGATTAGATGAGTAACTTGTGGTGCGGCTGGTTGTTTAATTACTACTCGGGGTCACTTGATTGCGCAATTTTGTTGCTTGTGTTTGGCTTGCAAATTTTTCGTAACCCACTTCGCCAAGTGGCGTGACCAAGGTTAATTATATTAAAATAACTGTCGAATGATGCGCGCATCATCATAACCGTTCTGATATAACAGCTGGGTAAAAGGCGGAAATTTTAGTCTTTCATGCCTCAGTGCAAATATTTTTCCTATCTGAAGGTACAACTTTTCCTTTTCAGACGGGCTCGAAAGAAAAACCATTAGCTGTCTGTTTGCTCAAATGCATGGTTTATTTTTTTTGCATTTTTTATGCTGTTTGGCTAATGCGGCAAAGCCAAAAGGTGTTGCGGACTAATAACTTTGGTCTCGCCTGCAGGACGAAGCCGAAAGGCAAACATCGGCCAGACGAACAAACCAGGCCACCCTTCTTTCAATACCCCTGGCCTTTCCCTTTTTACCTCATCCCAAAGGCAGTAGTGAAAATTTCACTGATTTTGTTTTTGGCCTGCAATGTCCTCGTTTCGCTCCTGATTGCACACATTTGGCCAGGAGTTTTCTGAAGGTATTGGTGTGCAGAAGAGTGCATGGCCTGCATCCTTAATGGAAAGGCTTATGTGAGAAGCTACACGAAAAACAATATTAGGACAAAATAAATGAAAACTTTATATGAAAATTTATATGAATACATGTGCATTTTTAGAATACGTTGAATGAATGATTATTTTGTATATATCGGGTAATTATTTTAAAGGTGTTGCAACATCTAAAAATAAAACTTTATCCAAGGCTTATAATAAAACATGTGTTGGCTTACTCAAATAATTTAAATTTAAAAATTTCATCAAATTTGATTATTTGATATTTGAAATATTTTTTCATATAATTTTCGAAAAACACCCAAACTAAACAGTTTTAACTAAAAAGAAAACTTTCAAATAATTTTTTTTGTGTAAGTGGGCGTAAGGTCCGTTTGGAAGCCATGATTTATTGCTCGTCCTGCGGCCCTTCTTCCGCTCTCCCCCTACCCGTTCTCTTACCACCAAAGGCATTGCAGCAAAGTCAACGGGCTCTCTCTCTCTTTCTTTTGGCCTCTTCGAATGCTTATTTATGTGCATTTCATTTCGGCTTTTGTCACTCTCACTCTCTGTTTGACTCATCGACTACGTCATCCGCATTCTGAGTACACCCCCTCTCCGTCATCACAAGCACAGCTTTCGGATAAAGAGCAAAAGGTGAAAGAGAGAGGAGATAAAGTAGACCATAATATGCTTAAAGTATGAATGGACTTCTTTCTAAATAACTTTATTGCTGAACTAATTTACCTTTACTCAAATTGAAATACACGTAAATAGCTGGAATAAGCCCTAACGTTATAATTGTAAACATTTGCTTATCTTATGTTTTTTTGTATATGTATAAACATTTTACTTAAAATTTATTTAAATGTATAGTGTATAAATGCATTATAGTTTGAAATCTTTTTCTACTTAAACAACTTACCTGCGAACACTTCTCAGCCTGTTATATCAACATACCATAGTTTCGATTTGGGGACTCTATTGTGAGTTTGGCAGCGTAAAGTCGACACTTCCGACTGCATTCTGCCCCTTCCGAAGTACTAGATAAGGGCTACAAAGACATGCCCCCGATTCAGTATCTGATTGCAGCTACTGCAATTGTTGCTGCTTCCCCTCGTGGCGATGAGGAAGTGAATCCTTTTCACTGCGCTATATAATCCGCACAATTTATGCAGGGCGGCGTGAAAATGGCATTATTAAAGAAGGGGTGACTGCACCACAGTGCCGCGCACCCTTTGCGCACTCATTGTTCCACCCTCGCTCGTTTCTAACTCGCTTTAAATTAGTAACATTCTGTTGTCGTTTTTTTGCTGCTGCTTGTTGGCCAACTTGCTGCGCTTTGTTTTAGCCGGGCTGCCTTTGGTGTCACCAGCAACAACAAAAAGAAAACGACAACTCTCGCTGCTGCGTTCATTGTACGTGATTTGAAATTTATTCACAATTGCTGGGACACCGTCTACTTTTTTCTCCCCTTTCTTTTTTTTTTTTTTTATTATAACTCGAAATTACCGACCTCCCTGTCTCTCGCCGCTTTGTCAACTTTTTCATACTGTTTTTTGTCTCATTTTTTGCCCATTCGGCTTTGTAAAACTTCCGGTTGGCAGGGAGAAACAGTAAAGAAAAGAAAAGTTGCCCACAAGTTGCACGTCCATTGCTCGTTTCATGTTTCACATTACGAAACCCGCCTCAAGACCTCAAGACAGTCGCACCAGAATCATTGGATGTTCACGTGCGTCCGCCGGCGTCAACCAAGTGCTCAAACTGCTCCCGCGACCCCAATCCCAATCCCCTTCAGAAAGAGGTAGCGCAACCAAATGCGGCGCCTCCTACAAAACGGTCAGACCTCGATCTGGGCCTTCCTCTTCGCTTCAGTGGAGGCTCTTGGGCTACGCAATCGCAGAAATATTTCAATTGTCAGTGAGGTCTCTGCGTACCCATTCTACTTAGGGGATATTAGACCCAAGACAGTTTCACTCAATCGCAGAAGATCTTGAAGAAGTGGTTTGATTTGTAAAAATGCCTTTGCTTTTTGGTATTGAGATTAGAACAAAAAAGCATTCGGAGTCTAACTCCATACTTTTGGTATAATTCATTTCTTGTGAGAATTGGCATCGCTACTCCAAAAATTTATGGATTAATTGTGTATTCTGAATAGGAATGCTAATGCCAGTATCGATATAATATCAAGTATTGTAAATCAGAAGAAGTTCATATACCTTTGTAACTTTGTTCAATGAATTCAATATTTATATGCTCACTTGCTGAATATGCATGTCATGCATTATCTATGATTCCAGACTTGAGGTATTCCTTGCCACCCGGTCTTCCACCTCGTCGGTTGGCTATCGCCCATTGCCTTCTTGGGCCAAGTTTGGTTTCCTGTCTCTGCGGCCAAAGTGTACTTTTCGGATCCACACAGGCACACAGCTGAGTACAGACTGCTTCCGCTTTGCTTGGCACAATTTGAAAGCAATTACGAAGTCAATTAAATGTGCATAAATATTGCTAATGAATTTCGTCGTGCGGAGCTTCTTGCGAGAAATTTACATTAAAATCTCCTAAAGGCGGAATTGTCTGATTCTAAGCAACTTCAATATCTTGAGAGTTCCTTTTGTACTTAATTTGGCTTAGTAATAATATATTTTTTTGGGAAAATGCTGGAGTAACTTTTATATTAGATCCATCATAGAAGCGAATCAATCGCATTTTTTTGTCAGTATATGTGCAGTTGATTGATGATCAATTTCGATCCCAGTTCCCCCCTGAATTTCTTGGGTTGCTGAACTATGGTGAAGCTATTTAGTAGCACCATATCGTAAATAAACGTAGGACTAGGCTCTTTGTTGCTCACGAATCTATAAATACATTTTTGATTTGGACTTCTTCGCGATCTGCATTCCGATTCACTGGCGGGAATGTGAAACATGTGCCCAACTCAACGATAACTGCACTGCCTTAATCTATAAATCGGATATTTAATTGTTATTGCTTTCGTCTGTAAAAAGTTATTGGGGATTGTTTCTCTGAGAGGGGAAAAGTGAGCAAACTTTAAATTGAAGTCAGATCTACACATATTGCTTAAGTTCAACAGCAATTCAATTCTATTCATTGCTTTCGAATTTTGGCGGCCCATTCCATTCGCATTTCATGAGACGATGTTATCGCCTCCATAGGTTCTATTTTGGGATCTACGCTGGACTTCAAAATTCGCTCTGTCGATGACCTAATTTTTCACAGGGGCAGCGGAAAGCTCCGCGTTGACTTTCTGTTTGTTTTTACCCCAGTGTGTCTGCGACTCATTTAATATCATTTGCTTGATTTTCCGCTGCATGATTCACAGATGAACAGATGAAAGGAAGAGTGGACGGGTCCGAAACTGACCTCGGCCATAGTCTTCTGTGTTCTGAGGAACTCTAGACTCCGACCGATTAGAAATCTAGTGCGTGCCTCGCTTCATTTTTCGCCTCGATCGACCCACTTGCCGATGATTAAAAGTTGTAATGGTTTTTCAATAAGCGCCAGACGCACATGCCACATGCTGTACTCGACTCCATGGTTGGCAAATTGAATGACAGATAACGAAACGCAATGCATTACTTGGGGGATCTATATATAACGCTGGGCTCAATTAAGGAAATTAGTGGGATCGCACTTAAATCATATCAATCTAATAACTAGCCAAGTCTGTTGAGAAAGTATTGTTTCGTACGACGGTCTTCCTCAATTGTTGTAGTAAGAATCAAATTTATTTATTAGTATATCTTGCTGCGCATATAGGTCTTTCATCTCTGCTCTCACAGTGCGTATGAGTAATCATTCTTATTGTACATCCCGCAGAGGCGAATCATTCCGACACTTTAATCTATAAGGAATGAGAATTTTTGTTTCAATATGGCGAAGCCTGATGCCTTTTGTTTTTAAAAAAGCACTGGACATCTCAGTTTAAAAGGAAATCAAAGTTGTATGTACATATATTATTAATGTACAAGGAAATATTAAAAAAAGCTAATCAATTGAACGGGAATATTTAGTCAGCAATTCAAAGTAGCGCCTAGGTTTTCTAATAAATTTAATTAAATAAGGTTCTTGTATACTGCAAATGAAATGATAACAAATGACAATGTGAGAGGCACTGTTTAAATGTTTTAATACGAGTGCTTGGTTACACACCAACTTCTAACGAACACAACGCAAATTCCAGCTGACCGTTTAATGTAATGTAATGATTAAGATGTAGGGCATTGTTGTTCATATTCCACAATTATGAAAAGTTAGGTAAGAATTTTGTAGCAGGCCAAAAATGAGGTCGAGTCGCTTGATGTTTCTTATTATAGTTCATCTCGCATTTAAATGGTGGCAGCGGGGAATCGGATCATCGGAGGCGTAAAGGGAGGACTATCTGGATGACTGACTGAATGACTAAATGTCGCCTGACTAGCTTACTGACTGGCAGTTGGAAAACTAACAATGCGAAAAGCGTAACGAGGCGACGTGCCATCTGAGTGGCCCATCTCCACTGAGTGGCCTTGCTACCAGCCCATCCCCCTCCCAATCGTCGTCTGGTCGCGCCCACAAATTATGCAACATGCAACGCAATTGGGGCGCCGCTTCGAAATGGAAATGAAAACCAGAAATGAAAAGCAGCCAAGCCGAAAGCTTTCCACTTGCAGCGGGGTGCGATGGGCAATGGGCGGTGGGAGTGGATCGGTGGGCGGGGCTGACATTGTTATTGTTGCTATCTGTGGCCAGTTGCAACCACAAAATACAGAGAAGCAGAACGCCAGCAGGCAGCTGTATTAAAAGAGGGCGTGGGTCAGGGACCAAACACCTCCCACCGCCCAACTGGCCCGGACCAGTGCAGCTGAAGCTGGGTCTCCCAGTAGTCTGAAGTGAACGCATCTGCAGCGCAAAAGTTCAAGGTCAACGCTGCTGCTGCTGCTGCTCTTACTGCATGCATTTTGCAGAAATAACCCTGACTTCTGGGTGGGACAGAGATGGAGAGTGCGGAGTGAGCGAGATGGAGCGGATTAAGCACACGCGCCTCGCCATCAAGGCCAGATATTAAAGGGAGGCTAAAATCAGAGATGTGTACTACAATAATAAATAATAGTAATAAACTTTACTTTTAAAAAGCTGCAATTTTCCAAAATGTAATTCGAAATGTAATGGGTAATGATTAGCTATATAGAGTCTTGGTAAAGTCACTGAACATATATCTCAAGATGATTGATAAGAATTATCATGTTTTATAAACAGGATTCCAAGCTATTCAATTTGTTGCCGAGATTGTCAGGAAAGTAAGGGATTGTCATATGTAAAGATGTAATCAGTTAAAGTAGTCAATAAAACATTAAAAATTGGGTGCAATATAGGACCTAAGACCTAGGTACGTACTAATGCATTGTATCTTAAATCTTGTACATAAACTTAATTCAAGGTAAATACCTAACCCATCACTGATGCGGCACAAGGCTCATGTGAACGACTGCAGTCGGGAAACCATCGAGAATTCCTGTTTGGCAAGCACTTGTTGTATTTGTATATACTCGGCTGATAAAACCCTTCAGATTGAGATTATAAACACACACAGAGGCACACCCACTCGCACTCTTTGTGCGCTCGAGTTTGCTGATTAAGCCCCAAGAAAAGCTCTCGAGCTGAGATACCAAAATAGATCTGCTTTTGTGTAATTGTTGGATAATTCAAGAGGAGGGATAAAAGCCAGCGCCATGTAACAGCAACAGCAACAATGGAGCCTCCCAAGCTTTAGCAGAATGGAACTCATCATTGCCAGCACTAGAGCTGAATGTCATTGGGTCCAGTGTCTCTTCTGATGAAACTACGTATGTGTGTCAGATGTTGAAACGTGCAGAAATTGTAATGCTCTCCATATGTGCAATATGATTGAACTCTTTGGCGGTTTCATGGAACTGAGCGAATCCAATATATCAGTAATAATATGATTGCAGTGATAAGAACTTGACATTAGAGTCAAGAAATTAATGGTTAAATGGTTTTAAATTCAAAAACAAGGAAACAGAGTAGCGTTTAGCGTAGAAAGTAACCAATAGAAACATTTTCAATTTAGGAATTATGAATCGATTAGATTTGGCTTTACCTCACAGCATATTTATGTTCATGAGTGCTTATCTAATAAGCGCCCGTTGATCTCACGCCCCACGTGTTGCCCCCTCCTCGCTTCCTATCGAAAATTCCACGACCAACGATCCGATATGAACTGCACCATCCCACACACACGACTACTCCCCGTCGGATGACAATGATCCGAACTAATTTTGCCACGCGTACCGCGTTCCGTTCTCGTTCCCGGTCTTAGTCCGAAACTCATTCCCGTTCCGTTCTCGCTTTACAGGATGTGCCAATTAAGCGGACCGACTCATCGCAGTGGTGGGAACTGTTTGATACGAATACCCAGCGTTTCTACTACTACAATGCGGCCACGCAGAAGACCGTGTGGCACCGGCCGAGTAAGTGCGACATCATTCCGCTGGCGAAGCTGCAGACGCTCAAGCAGAACACCGATCCCAGCGAGCGTCGCGAGCAGACCACGCCCCAAAAACAGCAGCAGGTGCAGCACTCTTCCCAGCAGCAACAACAACCCTCACCCATGTCGGGGCCAAACAAGAAAGGACGTGGCCAGCAGCGGATCAGCGGGAGTAATGGTACGGTGGCAAGCTCGGAGGAGAAGCTAACCAGCAACGAAGTGATCTCTAGTCCACGTGGTCGTCAAAGCTTTCGGTGAGTTGGCTTGCGTTGAGTTGAGTAACCAAATTTGAGGCCTGCTCCTACATTGTTTACACTCACAAATGTTTACATTTCATGTTGGACCACTTTGCAGCGTTGGCACTGGTGACTCATCCCGCTCGATGGACATGCAGCAGCAGAATCCGCAGGGCTACGCCTCCAGGCGTTCGCAGGGTGAGTGCTCTGGTCAACCCCAGCTTCATGGTGACTCATATCAACATCTTTTCAACCGGCCAGACTCCGGCAATCAGTATAAGGAATCGGGCAAGTCCAGCGACTCTAGTCTGTCCAGTGCGCATGGCTATAGGCGCTTCAATGACAGCGGCGTTCCGGGGTCGGGACATCCGGATAACCTGCGCCTTGGCTCCCTGCAGAAGCAGCAGCGTGGCGGTGGCAAGGATAATGGAGCGTAAGTACTTGAGGTTTGGCATCCATCACTTCATTGGCTTTAAATCGCTTCTGTACCCCATCTCCATCTCTGCTTGTGCTTGGGTTACGGATTGCCTTTCAGTTTCGAGATGCTGCAAGAGAGCACCAGTTCGCATAATTTACCGCATGGCAGCACCTCCACATCCTCATCCTACGCCGGTGGCAGTGGCTATGGGGACAAGTATTTCGATCATCAGCTGCTGCCCAACCACCTGCAGGGCTATTCGTCCAAGTCTTCGGATATTGCCTCACCTACGCACTCCATTCACACGCCCCAGTCGCAGAAGAAGAAGATGTCGCCGGATGCGGCGCCCGCTGCACAATACAACTACGCACAACAGCAGCATCAGCAGAGAAACGCACAACGCGGTGGTGGAGGAGCTGGTGGCACCGGAGCCCCAGCGGGCAAGTCCTACGGAGGCGGTACGAATAGATATCCATGCTGTGAACCTCGTTTGGTTGCAAGAATTATACATGCATAAGCTGTTAAGAATTTAGAAAAATGTGCCAATAAGGTAGATGAGAAAACATTGGCAGAAGGATGATGAATTTCCATACAAATTGAGTACTTTGTAATTTATTTAACCTGTTTTGCTCAAAGTCGATGCTCCAGTACGGATTGCTCAAATAATAAAGCTATGTAGTAGATTCAAATGCAGCCAAAACGAAGTTTATAGCACTACAATATGATTTATCTTTATTTTAAACGTGCTCAACCCTTTTAGATCGCGAATACAAAGTTTCGCTGGCCCGCTCTGGCAGTTTCATGTCCTCTTCAATTAATCCCGCCGCCGCTGGCCACCACAGCAAATCCTACCGTAAGAGCAGCGCGGAAGCAGCGAATGGAGGAGCGGCCAGCGATGACTCCATGCACGAGAAGTACTTTAAGTCAGTGGAAAACACACCACTCTCTCGGCGCCGTCACACCACCAATGCGACCAAGAGTGGAGGTGGGGCCAGTGGCAGCAACACGGCCACCAGTACGGCGGGCAGCGGCAGCAGTAGCCATAAAAAGCACTCGAGCGACTCTAGTCCGCAGAGTCCGATCAGTCCCCAGACAAAGAGTTCGAGGCAGGCTAAGACGAGTGCCACCAGTACCGTGCCTCAACTGCAGCATTCACCGCGCCTGCAGGAGCCGAGCCACAGCCTAGATTTATTGAGCCTGGAAAGGATTTCACTTGGAAAACCGGGGCCTATCTCACCAGGAGGTGGAACAGAGAACCTAGGCCTGTTGACGCACTCGTCGCGCGGGTCCAACGACTCTGCCCGCCAGCGCCCGAAGTCCAATAATTCCTCGGCGAACCGTTCGCAGTCGCATCATTATCCTGGACAGAGCTCGTTGCGACATAGCGCCAGTTCTAGTCTGGACAAACGAGGCTACCACGTGGGAGGAGGGAGTGGCGATGGAAGGGGGGGAACAGGCGGTGAAAAGCGGCGCTCAAAGCAGCATCACTATCATCAGCAGGCTGACAACAGCGACGTGGAGTACGACAATGGGAATACCTCACCCTTGTACACCAATTGGGACCAGGAAATGCCCCACCTGCTGCCTCTCAAACACTATATCATCGAGCAGGCGAAGTTGTCGGGTCGCTATGAATACCGTTGTGGCGATGGCGGAGATTCGGACTCGTTCCACTCGGACAGCCAGTCGGAGCACTCACTCTCAGGACACGAACCGGACAACGAGGACTCGGATGGAGGATCGGACACGCATGGTGGTTATCTGGAGCACAACTACGGCATGATCGACGACTACGCCAATATGGGAGACAGCGTATCCTACTACGCCTACATGTATCCGCCACACGATCCCGCCGGAAGGGAGGATATGTTAGTATTGATTCAATTTTTTCCTTCTTGAGCCCTATTAACTTTTCTATTGTATACCTTAGCTCCGAGAACGTGGAGGCTGTGTTGGAGGGAATTGGCGGCAACGCGACAGAACCTTCGGCTCCAACCGCCACAGCCCCCAAGCCAAAGCCTCGTTACCAGATCTCATACTACGACACCGTATCGCACAGTCCTTCAGCCGGAAGCGGCTATCACGGTCAGCAGCTTTACTCCAATACTCCGCCCTACTCTGGGCATGGTCATGGTCATCACGTTCCACCGCCGTCAGTGCCCCACCAGCAGCAGCTGCACCTGGAACCGAGCGACGCCAAGCAGAAGCAGTCACAGACCCTGCCCTCCCCTAACCGACAGATTTCGCGCCTAGCTGGTGCCGGTCACCAAGGATCGGGACCAGCTGCATCATCCAAAGAAGAGACTGGCCACAGTACTGTTGTCGGTCAACAGCAGGCAATCGTGGGTACTGTGACGCCAGCTAGTCTTTCCCGACCTGGTCACAAGATGGCTCCCCCCTCGCTAAAGCCCACCATCCAGCAAATCTTTCCACCCAGCGAACGGGCGCCAGGAATGGGTGGCTTAGGATTAGGTGGACCTACGTTGGCCTGCATGAAAGAATGTGATATAGAGAAATTCGCTGCCGACAATCTAAATTTGCACTCGAAGGGAATCTTCCGGAAGAAAGCATCTGTGCGCGACATGCTTAGTTGGACGGCGGAAGCGATTAGCAGACCCATGTTGGCTTTGTCTCGGGACAAGGCGGACAAGAAAACGGCAATTGAACTGTTTAAACTGGTGCAGATATACATGGCGGATCGCAAGGCGCGAATAGGCATGACTTTAAATTCAGTGGCCATAGAAATAATCAGTGCATCCCTACCACAGCAACAGTAAGTTGATTAACTTAAAAATATCGAATCATAAATGTATTTATAATTTTGTTTATTCACAGATTAAGAGACGAGCTATATGTCCAGTTGTGTCGGCAAACGACAGAGAATCCCAAGAGAGACTCGCTCATCCGCGGGTGGGAATTGATGGCCATCTGTCTGTCTTACGTACCCCCTTCGCCCACGTTTCAACCGACGCTGCTCAAGTAAGTAATTTAATTTGTGAATCCAAATGTAACTCTTTTAATTTTATGTTTTATATTGCAGTTATGTCAATCGGCACCGCGATCCATCGTTTGCCACGTGTTTCATGGAGGTTAGCAAGTGGCCCATTCATGTGCAAATCTCGCACTACGCAACTGTGTGCTGTCGCCGCTTGGATCGCATAGGTAGCAGTGGACGCCGAATGGCCAAAAAACCAACTGTAGACGAGGTGGAGCAAGCACGGGTAACTTATCAAACAAGAAAATTTTAGAAAAAATTGCAATATTTACTCGGTTCTCAACTTTTAGCAACAAATCTTAAGGAACAGCATGTTTGGTAACACGCTTTCTGAAGTGATGGATCTCCAAAAAGATAAATTTCCTTTCCGTAAGCTGCCCTGGATACAGACCACACTGTCAGAGCATGTACGTCATTGGTTGCCTAGCTTAAATTCGCGTTAAACCCTTATCTTAAAAAATATTTTTCTTTCATTAAGGTGCTCCTGCTAAATGGAAAGCAGACCGAAGGAATCTTTCGAGTCTCCGCGGATGTGGATGAAGTAGGTTGCATGAAGAACCGTCTGGATCGGTGGGATGTTCCTGATTACAAAAACACATTGGGTAAGAGATTTACTACTGATTTATAGGCAATACTGAACTACTGAAATCCCATTTCTTAGTTGATGCACATACGCCAGCCAGTCTGCTGAAGCTGTGGTACCGAGAACTGTACGATCCACTTATACCGGATGCCTACTATGAAGATTGCGTAAACACCGAGGATCCCGACAAAGCCAAAGAAATAGTTAATAAGTTGCCCGAAATAAATCAGCTGGTAAGATATACGGTTATTCAAGAAAATTGTGGGGCTATCAATTTAAGAAATATCTTTGCTTTCAGGTTCTAACGTATCTAATACACTTCCTGCAACAGTTTGCCATACCCGAGGTGGTCAGTTGCACCAAGATGGACTCCTCGAATCTGGCCATGGTGTTTGCGCCCAACTGTCTGCGCTGCACATCGGAGGATCCCAAAGTGATTCTGGAGAACGCTCGAAAAGAGATGTCCTTCATGCGCACCTTAATTCAGCACATGGACACGACGCACGTGGCCAATCTGGTCTAATGGGCTGTTGGCCAATAAATAAGGCGAACGACCTACCTACCAACCTACCAATATGCAAACGTTATGAACCTATCCTAACTTACTACCTACCAAATCTAACTTTAACTCGATTTGTATTTATACAAAGGATGATGCAGATTAATCTTAACTCCTACTTTAACTTTAACTCGTTTGCTACTCGAATTTTCTCACTAAATGCTCCCAAGACCAAAAGTCTATGGATTTAATTTTATTTCGTAATGACTAGGAAGCTTGTTCAGAACAATGGCTACAACCCCAAATACTCGACGATCTTGTAACCCGTAGTGCTTTTCAAACCAAAAATAACTGAAAGATGAATCCAAAACTGAAAACTCAATGCGTGCATGCCTAGTTATGTCTCAAACTGTAGTTGAATTAATTTATTTTGCATTTTAACTGTTGTTTTTCTTTAAATGGAATTTAAATCAAAGCAAGCAAGCAAGTAAATACTCAAAGAAACTCCTAACTCTCTACAATGCGAAGCAAAGCAAACCTTAAAGAACTTCTTGCGAAGCCTATAAATAGTTCTAAAATAAAGCTAACGATAACTTAAATTAAACTCTATATATATTATGATGTACACTATATGAAAAGAAGGATCAAGAAGGAGAGCTGAAAGAGAGATAAGTAAATCAAATGCAATAAGAAGTCAATGATGAAACTGCTTATTAATTACTTGCAGCCAACGTAGTGCTATATACAAAATATTTATTCATTTGCGTAAATAAAAGAATGAAAATAAATAAATATGATAATGTTCGAATCAATCGCCATTTCATGGAGAAGTCAAGTGAAAATATATAAAAATGTATGGAAACCTTCTACTTTCGAGGTGATCGAATAAAGTTATAAATATAAAACGGAGTTGGGAAAACTTGTCGTCGGAGCACATGCCCATAGAGGGATTACAAATTCATCCAGTTCTTCCTTTGCTGTTATTAATGCGTGCCACAAATTATTTATGCCCAATTTCGAAGTCATTTCAAACCGTTTGTCTTCTGATAATTGCTAATAATTTAGCCTCACTTGACGACCATAAGCCCCCCAGGCCATGGCACCTTATCGACCAGTAGACCTCGTCAATGTCTCGAATTGGTCGCATATACTTATCGCATACCACCGAAAAACGGCTTTCTGTGCAAAAGAACGTGGCTTGTATTTTTATCACCATTCATTATTTATTATTCACTATTCATTATGATGTTTGAATTTTCTTTTAAAGAACAAAGCACTCTTTGAATGGTCATTACTTACCATTGAGAGCTTGCCTTAGACCACTCGCCCCCCAAATACGCTGTTCGAACCATTCATATTGATCAATTTGAATACTCACCTTGTGATATGTCACAAAATGGCCGTCAGTTGACTTTTTCGGGTGCAAAATGTTGTATCGATGGGATTTTATCGGGGATCCCACAACTGACTATCTGATAGCAGAGGGAACAAGTGTCTGCTCATGATGAAGCGTCGAAGTGATATATCCGGGGATTACAGGTGCACTCGGGAGTATGGGGTTCCTTTCCCCATATCTTGGAAAGCGGGCTTTGCATAAATTAGTGTTCTAAATGTTTTAATCTCTTTTTAGTCTAGGGATTTTTAACAAAATTAATAGGGTGTATCGGTTATTATTCAAAAAAGGGTATATATTTCACGTATAATTTTTAAAATATGATGCACAGCTTAATATACATTTTACGTATCTTCCTTATCATTATTTTTTAAATTTGAGTGTCATAAAATCTTAATCACCAATCGAGTGGATGTGGTTTACTACCCTTTTCAGCGAAGAACCCCCGATAACTCTATTTGCAATTTATTAAATCACTTTTCAGCGAACCATATCAAGAGAAAAAGGTTCCTAATATCACATGAAACTGAGTCATTGAATAGTAAAGTCATAGAGTTTCCATTGAAGTTCAGCAATTTTAAAATAGTCACCATTTACCCACATCACAAAACATGAAAATTTTCAAACACATTACTCTGTGCTCATCGTGCGAAATGAAAGCATGACATCCTTTCCACCAGCGGAAACTGAAGATTTTCAGTGCTCCCGAAACTCGACGAGTCCCAAAACTTATCTCGAGGGTACCGATATTTTGGGCGACCTGAAAACAACATCAAAGGGGTATCTATCGGGCAATGTTGTGGAATCAGCAACAATAACAACAATGGGACGCATTTATGGCTGTGCGTTTTCCATTTTATCACCCAGCCCAAGCCGAAATCAGAAGTAATCCATCATCTAGGAGGCTTTACGAGGAGCCCGAGTACAACTGATAAGACACCCCGAAACACCTATCCACAACCCAAGTACACAGACGCATATATTGTTCCCAAAGAGCAGAGGGAGACGGCACCATGGCCGAAATCATAACACAAACTCGATTACTCAATCAAAGCGATGTCTTTCACGAGGGGGGGCTGGGATGCGAGGGTGGGGGTGAGCGAGAGATTGGTAATTTTAATTTGTTTACAACAACAATCAACAGAGTAAAATAGCTAAACAGTAGCAGAGAGCCGAAACCAGGTAACGATACCGATAAGGGGTGATTAACAATTACTCGATCAAACGCACCGACCCGCCGAGTGGGAGGCGTTTTGGGAGGGTGGTCGGGTGGTTGGGTGGTTGGGTGATTCGGTGGGCTGGTGGGTTGGCAGTACAATAAGCGGGCGAGCAGGGCCGTGATTTATACGACGATCGCCGATTGGGTGTCCAACCGGGAACCGATGTCGAGCTGTCGCCGCCTGCAATTGGAAATTTGGTATTGGGTATTGGGAATAGGAATAGGAATAAAAATCGAATGGAGTGGAGTGGAGTGCCATCGAGCCACTGGAGCGCCTAACCAACCACCACTCGCTTATCAATCGATGGCCGGTAGCTCGGCACTATCTCCCATGCGCGGCATATCTACATACCGTTCTATTATTGTTAATATTGATATCTACCCATTAGCACAACATTATAGGTACAATCTATTATATTCTGTGAAATCAGATTTGGTACAATTTATAGCGTCCATGGGCTCTGCGGCGACTTCTACAGCTGGTGGCCATTAGTTCATCGCCTGCGACCGACGCAGTCGCTTCGATCGCTCCGCACCCAGCCAATCGGCATCTATAGTGCCACTCTGAGAACCCCAATATGGATATCGCCACCAAGTCAAGCAAAGCTGCCTTCTCCATCGAGAATATCCTGGAGCAGAAGACCTCATCGGATCGATCTCAGTCGCGCAGAGGCTCCTCTCACAGTCCCGTGGCGGGAGCAGCCGGAATACCTTCTCCCCCTGCACTGACCATGCCCAAGGCATCCTTGGCCACTGTTTCGTCCTCCGCCGCGCCCACTTCCTCTCCCTCGTCCACCACCAACATCTTCGATCTGTCCCGCGAGGCAGCTGCCGCCCAGTATGCCATGAAGAGTATGGACTCCAGTGCCGTGCTGGCGCCCACCTCGCTGCGCTTCAACCCCATCTACCCGGACCCCGCCTCGCTGTTCTACCAGCAGGTGCTCCAGCTCCAGAAGAACCCCTCGCTCTTCATGCCCCACTTCCAGGCAGCCGCAGTGGCCGCCGCAGCCGCCGTCCAGCCGACAAGCTATTGTGATCAATACAGTCCTTTCACCATGGACTGCGAAGGTGAGTAGTTCACCATACCTACGTAGTGCGGTTTATTGTAGTTCTCATAAGATATGCAGATATACATACATTTTCAAAAAGCTAATTGAATGATTGACAATCACATACATCTTGTAGTTACTTATAATTCGATAAAAAGAAATGCGTACAGGGAGACAAGAGAATATACTCTTAAATTTTAGTGAAATATTTCAAAATGTAAGAATGAATGATGGCAAACACTTTATAAAATTTTCAATAATAAAGTGTGATTATATTTGAGTTGTATATATTTTCCTACAACAATATATTCAAGATCCTTTGAATCCTTAGGGGATTTATTTGACAAGGTCATATAGAAATTGAGTAATTGTCAAAGGAATTATGAAACCTGAAGGAGATGTATTAGTAAGGTATATGACCAACCACACTTTAATCATTAGCATTTCATCATCATACTATCAAAGGCCCGGAAATGAGTCACCTGCGTAGCAGTTGTTATGAATGAATAAGTCTAATTATCAATTAAACACTAAAAGGCAGATAAACGCCAAACCACTTATAAAGTATGATAGGATAAATCCTGTGTCTTAAAGACAGAATGAAAGGCACTCACCAAGTTAGAATCTATAGTTTCTATTAGACTTTCTCACAGTTTTCAACTAAGAATGGGACTGAGAAGGTGCCCCCTTCGAGTTCCAAGTCAAGTCATTGAACCTCGCCATGCTGACACCTTAATCTCGCCCATCAAATTGACACATGGTAATCTGTCGCCATGGGAAAGCTGGTACCTGAAATCCTCATTTAAATACAATCTAAACTAGCCTAAGTCCGAAGTGCCCGGACCACCGACTATTACAATGGGGATCCCACGCAAAATGGGCCATAAACATGATTAATGTGTGTGTGCAGTTGGGTGTTTGTCAAAGTCAAGTGTTGGCGCCAATGCCACTCGAAATCCCACTTCTCCGCCCCAAAACTGCATTTCCCGGTTGGTTTTCTGTGCAGTGTAACCGTAGATTAGCCCCAGCAATGCTGATAAAGTCAAGTCCCGAATTCCATCCCCCCGAAAAACTTACACCCCATTCAGATCGGAAAACCCACGAAATATTTCGAGGGCTTATCAGAGGTGACAAATATTTGAAATTGAGGTGAGAGACAGCGAAACTAAGTGGGGTATTGGAAAGCTGTAGATACTTAAGTGACAGTTTGTTCCCATTTCAGGGGATTGCTGTGGAGTCGGGAAAACCGATCTGCTGAAATTCATCCATGCAAATCAGTGGAAGTGTGGGAAATCGAACTCGGTCGAACTTCTTTCTCATAACACCTATTTTTTCACAATTATCCCAGACCATAACCTTACAGACAAACCCATTTCCAATTATATTCCCAATCTTCAAATCAAATCAAATGCAGTCAGGCTCATACAACGCCTCCAAACCAGAGTATGGGCTAGCTTGGTCATTGCCATTGATGGCACAATGCAGATAGGAGTATCGGCTCGTATGGCCCACTTCAACTGTACTGCTATCCCGATTTCCGATTTGTTTGGCTTATCTAAACGAAAATGCTATTAGAGGCGATTAATAGGCGCTGTCCATCATCTTATAGCCACGATTGCCATTTGATTACGATAAGCTCGTCCGTTCTCGACACTCGCTCCTCCTCGACAAGGGGTAAATGGGGCGGGGAAGTGGGCGACAAGTACCTGATATGATTTTATTCCTTCAATCGGACACGCACTATGTGAAATAATAACAAATCCAATTTTCAGCGATTATATGCCGCTGGGAAGAAGATAAGGGGGTCCGCAGCCTTATCACTGGGTACGCCACTTAATAAAAATAAACGTTAATAAGTCTATTTGTAACGATTTAAATTATGGCATCTCCAATCGAACGTTATTTACTTAAAGGCATTCGCCATTTCCAACAGTTCTTGGCCAGATCGGCTCACTTATGAGGTAACTAGGTCCCGAAATATTAGCTTAGTTCAGCGGTGAAGCGCATTCCAAGTGCGAATTTCCGTTACCTCAACGGAAAGAGCCCTCCCTCCTTATCATATACCAGTATACATAGGTGTAGGTGCAGATAGGTTCGCAATCGGATTGCCGGTCGGGGGCCAATTGATTTCGCTCAATTGACGCGGAATCTCGGCGTACAGTCGATCCATTTCGCAATGGCCCCAAGTCGTCACCCAGTTACAAGTGGGCGTTGACATATCCCCCGATACGACGGTACTGTGTATTGCATACTGGTATATTCCCTAACACCCATACACTTGTACCACTTGGAATTGTTGTGTCCGATTACTTGATAAGAGCGGGTGGGCGGAGATAGGGAAACCGGGCCACAGGAGCCACCAATCAAAATCCAATGATTGCGCCACTTTATATCGGGCAGATATTTCAAAATTGTTATTCAAAGAAATCGATTGTCCTCGACTTCTTTGATAAACTTTGCTGGGAATCAGGTTCGACCAATGAATTTGACAAATGGAATGGGTCAATGTGCCATTCGTTCTTTGTATCCAAAATATTGTGACTACGTATATCTCAATCAATTTTGAGACTGAAACTACTGATAAATGGGAAAGTAAATAACAGAAATTTTAAAAATAAGCAGTTTGGTAACATCCTCATTGATTGCAATCTAAACCAATGTGTCGTCCTTTATGCCCCGTAGGATTCCCCAACCCGGCCTCCGCTGCAGCCGCTCTCTACTGCAACGCCTATCCGGCGGCCAGCTTCTACATGTCCAACTTCGGCGTGAAGCGAAAAGGTGGTCAGATCAGATTCACCTCCCAGCAGACCAAAAATCTCGAGGCCCGCTTCGCCAGCTCCAAGTACCTGTCGCCGGAGGAACGGCGTCACCTGGCCCTCCAACTGAAGCTGACCGACCGACAGGTGAAGACCTGGTTTCAGAACAGACGGGCCAAGTGGCGACGGGCCAATCTCAGCAAGCGCAGTGCATCCGCCCAAGGAGTAGCAGCCGCTGCCGCGGGATCCCCCTCCTCCGCTTCGAGCAGCAGTGTTCCCGTGTTGAGTCTAGGCAGCGGGAGCAGGAGTGGCCAGCAGAGCGACGAGGAGGATCGGATGTATCTATCCGAGGACGATGAGGACGACGACGACGAAGATGAAGGGGAGGCGGAGGAGAATCCCAAGGGAAGCTAGGGGATTGATTGCCCACTGACTCATAAGTTAGATCAGCTTGTAGTTAGGTTAAATAAATTTATTGCATTAGAATTATAGTTAGTTAGTTATGTTGGTACTTGACGTGTGGGCTCCTAGTGGAACTGGTAGCTGTCCAGGCAGGCGCAGTTGGGCAAGGTGCATCGGGGCGCCAGGTTGGATAGGTGGCCCATGGTCACCGGAAAGGAGAGCGGCACAAACCACTTGGGGTACGCACAAATGGCCGCTGCCGCCGCCGACGCACTGCTTCCGAAGACCGGCGGCTTCAGCTCCACCACCGATTTGCTCTGGTACTGAAAGGTAAGATGTTATATATTCTAACAAGTATACATCTTAATTATATGGAGCAGCAAACTGTGACCCGATTGTTCTACTTCAATGGTCTGTATATTCTCTTCAACCGTATGCAATCTACGCTAGACCAAATCGCATTGGATAGCTCTAACAATTGAAAAATTAGCTAATTTAGTTACGAATTTCCTCTTCGTATTATACAAAACAAAAAAATAAGAGTCTAATGTTCTTACGACTAATCATCAAAATATCCCATTCGCCTATCTTATAATTAATCTTGTTGCAAGGTTTTGCTAGTCGAAAACGTTACAAAATATTTTATCACACAGAAAAACTATTCACAAATATCGATTAAAAAACATTTATTTATAATGATCACTCACTAATGATTTCAATTATATTTCGTATTATATTCACAGTGTACATTCACTGTTGTTTTTATTCAAAACAAGTTCTTCGACTATTAGATACCCTTTACTCAACTAGAGCGAGTACTAAGGAAATAGAGATATATATTTGCCAGATTGACCATAAATTTATTAAAGTTCTTTAGCTAGAAGTGATTTGGTCTGTCTTTGGTGTTTCGTTAAAGTTGTCTAAATAAATAATAACTTCCAAGGAGGGTCGATAAGTTGATAGAAACTGGCATGTAAACTAATTAAGAAACCTGCACAGAGTAAGCTTCACTAGAATCTGCCTGCCTAGTCCCAACTCTCTAGCTCTGATGATGCCCAAGATCACGCCGTTCATTCGGGCCTGCGGACAGACGATCGACCAAGAATAATTTCTTTACAGATTTGGAAGCAATGCTTACAACGAATCTAGTATGCCCTTTCACTCTACAAGTAACAGATAAATTGGGATATAAAATGTGAGTGGTACTTGGATTCCGGTATGTAAAACCTGAAAGGTAACTCATAAAAGGGATTGAAATTGAGGTAGCTTGCCTGATCTGTTATCACAGGCCTGAAGGCGCTGCTCCTGGTCTGTGGCACCGCGGGCAGCATGCCCGACTCCTGGCTGGGCACCTGGTTGTTGGTGACATCCACTGGCGAGGACTTGCCAGTGGGCGAAACATTCTCGATGGCCCGGATCAGGTCGAGATCGCAGCGCTTGAGCACCAACTCCAGGACAGATCGCTTGCGCTGGGGAAAGAGCTGGGCCAGCATGTCTATGGCCGTTTGGGAGACATTGTCTCGTCGAGGAGCACTGAGGTCCTGGGCCACTGCCGGCGATTCGCTGTACTCCTCCTCCTTCTGCTTCAGCTGCTGTTGCTGCTGCTCCTCCGAAAGAGACTTCTCCGGCTGGTCAGTCTCCCGCTTGGAATGCGGTGAACTGGGCTGCGTCACGGTCAGACCGAATATGTTGCCTGGCGGCAGTGCATCGATGGATCGACCCGTTTTGTTGGCCACCAGCCGCATGGCAATCGCATCCTCCACCGCCTGCTGACGCTTCAGGGCAACCTGAAAGACCACAAATGGAAATTAATATGCGACAAGTGAACATCTCTGTCCGCAGTTCGTCTGCTGCTGTTTGACTTATCCGCAAACAAAGGCCACAGCAATTCCTTGGGGTATCACCCACATCCTAGCACATCCTAGCACATCCTAGCTCATCCTGGCCCATCCACAGCGATCTAATGAAATGCGAGACGGAGCAACACTTGTGCAAACAGTTTCGGTAAGCGGATATTTTGGTCGATTTGTTCCTACGCCTTGACAACTTTCCATCACCATCATCATCTGAGGGGAGGGCATTCAGGACCGGTTGTCCTTGTTCTGGCTGGATTTGCTCCCCGGGTTCCGTTTCATTGGCTGTTTGCCTGGGCATTGGAGTGGGGGTGTCCATCGGCTATTTGTGTTTCGAATTGAGAACTTGGCAGCGCTTAATCTAAACACAATATAAATGGCATTGCTAACTATTTTTCCAAGAAAGCTGGCAATTGAATTCAGTTACACTGATTGATTGATTCAGGATGGGGTGGCTAACATATTGCGTTCTGGATACAAATAGCCGAGAAAACTATCCACCTTCTATGTTAAATTATGCTTGAATTGAGTTGCCTCTAAACTTCTGAATTCAGTCATGGTAGTGGCGATGTGACTACATTCGAATATAATCTACATTCCAATATAAACTATACGCTATATAATCTATATTGCCTTTGCTACTATATAAAGCCATAAAATGGAAAATCTGCTACGATGGTCCGATCCAAGCCGTGTATATCTTAAAAGAATGGTATTCATTTAATTAAATTGGACGAATTTTTTCAAAAAATAACCTTTGTTTGGTTGTCCTTGTCTAATGAAACCTTCGTTTTAGAGTTTAAGAACGAAACTAAATGTTCCGCCCCGGAAACTAGACGGAAACTTAAATTTTAGAACATTGAAATCTTCAGTTTTACACAAACTGTTCCTGGCAATAACCAGATTATAGTAGATTATTTGATTAAAATTATAATTAACTGGCTTAAATTAAGATTCATAGTCTAACCAACTACATATGTATAACGAGTTCTATTGAAGCTAATCGTACAACATGGAATTCAATTACATTAGTTGCTAAAACGAAATTCGTAAGAAATTTATTTGAGTTCATTTCTTAGTTTAGAATTCAATTTAACTGAGGAACAAATCCTCAGCCCTTATATTCAAATTATTGCATTTTTTAAATTTGATTGCTTGGATTTTTAAGTATATGCTTTTAAATATAATTAAGGTTGTTGCGACTGATGTTCTCACTTAATTAGGAACTTAATTAACTTAGAAACTGATCACAGAAAGCAAAGGTTTCCAGGGGACCAGTAAAATTGCAGAAATCTTACCCATCGAATTTAAAAATGCTTCTGTGTAGGATTGGGATTAAATAACGTTTACACTTTTTCTCAAGAAAGTTTAGACAGGTTCTAAATGTACAATTTGTCGATGATACTAAAAACTAAATACCCTTCCCCTCTGTGAGTGCAAACTAAGCATTTAAATCTTTACTCACCTGAGCGGCCATGATGCGTTGCCTCTCAAAGATCAGGACGCACTTGGCGCACTTGCAGTTCTTGTAGGTGCAGAGCTTCTTGTGACCCCGTAGCTCTGAAATGATCCCATGGTTTCGGCAGCGGGCGCACTTGGGCACCCGGTTGGCGACCTTGGGCGGTGGGGGCTCAACTAGTTTGGGGGCTTTGGAATTACCCGACAGACGAGGACGCTTATTAGCCACTTCATCAGCAGGTTCTCCACTTGAACTGGCCATCGCAACGCAGTGGGGAAATGGATTCAATGAAAACCGATTATCCGATTAAGAAGTTGCTGCTTTGGACCGCAAATTTGCGACTTATTTGGGGACCAGCGAAAAGAAACTAAATTTTAGAAACACGCTCCAAGGGATCTGGAATTGTTTCAAAGAATGGCGGATGCTACGTTGTTGACTTACGCAGGCGCTTCTGCTTTGATTTAGCAATTTGAGCTTAGAGCACTGCAATTGGTGGTTGGAAAATGACTAGACTCCTCCCCTTGAAGTTTCCGCCAGGGGTTTGTAGGCGGAGCCAAACTTTCAGGGGACAAGTGCTAAGTAGTGAAGAATACGCCATGCAATATCCTGAATATTATCACCATCTCACTTCGAAAGACCTAATTTCCTTATCGTGCCGAAAGCTCACAATTTGTTCTGTTTTACCTACAATTAATCATAGAATATACCTTTATAAAAAGTTTATTCCATCACTCTATAACTAATAATTAACGCAAATTAGTTTAAAGCAAATGTTGATCCAAGCTAAGAAATGTAAATATCGTCCTCGTTTATAATCATTTGAAGTTCGATAAGTTCTCGCGGCTTAGCAAAGTTAGCCACCAAGGCAGCGAAGCCTTAATTAGGGTGTGTGGAATACGCCCTAACGCCAGCGAACTCGGACACGGTCACACTGTGACCGCAGCATGTTTAAAAAGCGTAAGACTCCCAATTGGACAGTTCTTATTGGAGCCGAGCTAGCACGTGTCCGGAGATTTGAGAACGAGAATTGCCACCATGGTTGGCCAGAACTCTGACAAAATGCGGGCCCTGGCCCTGAAGCTCTTCGAGATCAATGCCTTCAAGTTCGGCGACTTCAAGATGAAGGTGGGCATAAATTCGCCGGTCTACTTCGACCTCCGAGTGATCGTCAGTTATCCGGATGTGATGGTCAGTATTTGGGATTAGGGGTCCATGTCCATGGCAGTAGCTAACTCGTCTCCCGCAGCAAACTGTGTCCGACCTTCTGGTGGAGCACATCAAGGACCAGCAGCTGACCGCCAAGCACGTGTGCGGAGTTCCCTACACGGCGCTCCCGCTGGCCACCATTGTGTCAGTGCAGCAGGGAACGCCCATGCTGGTGCGGCGCAAGGAGGCCAAGGCGTACGGCACCAAGAAGCTGGTCGATGGCATCTTCAATGCCGGCGACACCTGTTTGATTGTCGAGGACGTGGTCACATCCGGCTCCAGCATTCTGGACACGGTGCGGGATCTGCAAAACGAGGGCATTGTGGTCACCGACGCCGTGGTCGTCGTGGACCGGGAGCAGGGCGGAGTGGCCAACATCGCCAAGCACGGAGTGCGGATGCACTCGCTCTTCACGCTCTCCTTTCTGCTGAACACCCTCCACGAGGCCGGCCGCATCGAAAAGTCCACCGTGGAGGCGGTGGCCAAGTACATCGCCGCGGTCCAAATCAACAGCGATGGAACCTTCGTCGGCGGCGATAAGGCCGACGTTGTCGCAGGTGCGTATCCAGATCACGCTGCCAGATACATAGATGGATAGATAGATAATAAGTACATGACACTCGGCCAGCACATGGCCTCGAACAAATTCAATTAGGGGAGCGCTCCAGCTGCGGTACTATAAAGTTATATAACCTCCATAAATGGCGGTAGGCCGATCTGGATTCCACTATCGGACCGCATCAGTCCCGGGAATGCGGCCCGTGATTCTGATTCAGGGCAGTGTCCGGTCCGCACTCAATTATGCCACCACGCTTATCAGTCCACTCGAGAGCCAGTCTGCTCCTCAAACCAGGCCCATCTTCTATTTGGGCTTTGATGAGCTGTATGGGAACCGGTTTGCTTTTTATTTCCACCTGTCAAGTGATGGAATTCTAATTTGATCTTGATAATCACGGTTGCCTTTGGGCAGTACAAAATACATAGGGTATTAGTATTTTGAGAGAGAAGAGAGAATTTGGTTTTTCTATATTTAAAATCCTAAGATAAGTCTTAAGATACCAACGGGAATTTATCTGTGTTCTCCATTCGTAAAACCCACTCAGAGTTCAATCTGAAGATATAAAGTTTAAAATGTGTAAAATTATACTGTATAAACAGCCAAAAGCAATTCCCAGGTGAAAAGAGTTAAATGTATTTTGTGTTCAGTATACATATGCATTTTTGGATCCCGAACCGTGAACTATTTACCATAGCGATAAGGAAAGGCGATAAGATAGGTATCCGTGCACGTTTTAGCTCAAGTGTTAACCAATCTTCCTCACTTTCTCCGCAGCCAACGACTTGCAGCGCACAAAACTGACCTACGAGAGTCGCGCCAACCTGGCCAAGAGCCCGGTGGCCAAGCGCCTCTTCAACCTGATAGTCAGCAAACAGACGAACCTCTGCTTGGCCGCCGACCTGACCCGTGCCGATGAGATCCTGGACGTGGCCGACAAGTGTGGTCCCTACATCTGCCTGCTGAAGACGCACGTGGACATTGTGGAGGACTTCAGTGAAAAGTTCATCGCTGCCCTGCGAGCTCTGGCCCAGCGGCACAATTTCCTGCTCATGGAGGATCGGAAGTTCGCAGACATAGGCAACACGGTGTCCCTGCAGTACGGCAAGGGCATCTATAAGATTTCCAGTTGGGCAGACCTGGTCACGGCCCACACTTTACCTGGACGCAGTATTCTGCAGGGTCTGAAGGCGGGCCTTGGCGAAGGAGGAGCCGGAAAGGAGCGCGGTGTCTTCCTGCTGGCGGAGATGTCGGCCAGCGGCAACCTGATCGACGCCAAGTACAAGGAGAACAGCAACAAGATCGCCACCGAGGGCGCCGATGTGGATTTCGTGGCCGGTGTGGTGTGCCAATCCTCCGATGCCTTTGCTTTTCCCGGCCTCCTGCAGCTGACGCCCGGAGTGAAGATAGACGAGGGCGTGGACCAGTTGGGCCAGCAGTACCAGAGCCCGGAGCATGTGGTCAAGGAGCGGGGAGCCGACATCGGAGTGGTGGGCAGGGGCATCCTGAAGGCCGCCAGCCCGGAGCAGGCGGCCCAGACGTACCGCGACCGCCTTTGGGCTGCCTACCAGGATCGAGTCGCCAAGTAGGAAACACAACCAGCATTCCCCTTTAACAAATATTCTCCATTCCCAATTCCCATTCCCCTTTGGTTTCGGTTACCCTAGATAAGTGAAAAACTTTAAAATTCTTTACCGCGATTTTACAGTGCATTTATGAATTGAAAATAGGCTATGAATCTTCCACTGAAAAGTTGGCTATCGAGGCTTGCCTTAAAATAAGAGTTACAACAAATAGAATGGTTAACAATCGATGTGAAGCGCCTCGTCCACGAGGAAATTCTTAGTAGGAGGCCAGGCGCTGCAAAACGTAGCTGTAGTCTCCGGAGAGGTCGTCCTGGAAAGGAGATCAGTGGATGGTGAATGTGACCCAGCTTTGCCGTTGAGTGTAAGCCAACTTTATTAGTTAATACAAGCACAAACTATGCATTCGACTTCGATGCGCAATAATGTACAAAAAAAGGACATGTATACAAAATAAAAGTACGTAAAAATGTTAAATAATCGTTGAACGTGAGACGTTATTGCACAGAGGGAAATACTAAGCGTTTCGTAGATTGGATTTCAGAACACATCACCACATATGTACGCAAATCCATTTGATCTTCGCTTTTGTTATAGTTTTTTGGGAATATACAACGTGTTTTCTTATTTTTTGGCATTTTCTACTTGAACAGTGGGAGTATTGCTCATAGATATTCGGAATTTCCGGTTGCATCAGTCTACCAAGCCGTAAGAGTGACCAGGACGTATCCAATTTCGGTCTCGGCATCCTCCTGTTGTTGGTGGTTGGTTTAAACGGGTAGAGAAAAAGCGTGAAAAGAGCAGAGGGTCAGAGCATTAAACGCTTTTTACTTTGTATACATGGCTTATGGTTTGGTTAATTCCCGGAAGCTACTTCTTTAAGGAGTGAGTACGTGATTAAGATCTTCTAGCATTGACCAACTATATGTCTTCCTGATCAGCAAATGGGTATGCGTATGTCCATATGTTCGAATTTAACATAGCATTTAAAGTTCTACATCTTGGCAATGTTGTACATCATATTTACATTTAATTTGAATTTACTTAGAGCAAGCAGTGGAAGTAGATTGAGGTTCCATTTAAAGTTAACAATATTAAACAGCTTACATAGCATTTACTCTTGCTGATCAAGTTCAAATGGTCAGCTAAAAAGAGCTAATATCCATCTTTGGTTCCATTGAAGTGATTTTTATGTTTGGTTAACCCACAACCTTTGTAAGCTTAATGTTCTGATGTTAAGCGACCCATGTGGCGCTGTTATTTACATGACAAGCAGTGCAGAGACCTCTGCTAAAGGTAACAGAAACTCAATTTAAATTTGGTATTTCATATTTTTCGTATTTTTTATTTTTGTATTTTTAAGTAAAAATTTGTTGCAAATGAGACTCAAAACAAAACTGAAAGTATAGCTACATTGCAGTGCATATAGCCTGAGGTGTAGTAATTATAGAGATACAAATATGTGCATGTGGCGTGCATAGTCATAATAATAAAAGTCACAACGGTTATAATAATCAACAGGATGCGAGACTGGGGTTCTGATTATACGACTTTAAATGCACGGCGTCTGCGTTAAAACGTGTTCCAATTCAAAAACTATACATTGTCAACTATTCGATAACTGAATTTCGTTTGTACATTTGTTTGCATATAGTTAGAGCGTGGAACAGACGAAAGTAACAAGTTATTGTTGGATGGGGTTCTTTTTAGAAGCCAACAATAGCCAATAGGGCACGCTTATAATCGCCGGATGTATCGCCCTAAAAATATAGAATATGCCAAGTTTTAATGTTTTATGCACACAAATGAAGCAATCGGGCGGGGAGGGAAGAAATCGGCAAGAAAGTGTTGGCCAAAGGAACAGAAACTACAACAAGAGAAGCCAGCTTTGATGAATGATTGATTAGGCGATTAAAACTTTGATGGAACCACGATTAATGGGAGTTGTTGCAGGGACAATCGAATGCGAATGTTAGTGGCACATTGAACTGGGTGCAAAGTTGAAAATTCTGGCAAGCACACACAAATACGAATGTGAATTGAAATCGGTATTTACCTTGATCCAGGACTCCAAGCTCTTGCCGTACTTGTTCTGGAATGCCTCTTTGATGTCACCCAGATCGATCTCCGACCGGCTGACGATGATGCGGATCAGCGTCTTGTCCTTGGTGCCCATGCCGGCCATGGAGTCGTGCAGGCGCTCCGAAAAGTAGTCGATCTTGGACTTGCAGCACTTGACTGTAATGCAATGCATCAGTTAGAAGGGACTCTAATGAATAGGACACTATTAGAACGTACCGATGGCCAGGAAACCCTTCTCCACGGAGCCGCTGAACTCCCGCTTGATGGCCTTCTCGATGTCGTTGCCCGACAGGTTCTCGTATTCCAGGAAGATCTGGCGCAGCTGCTGGTAGGAGCGGGTGATCAGGATCGAGTTGAAGGTGGACTCATCTGTGCCCCACTGTCCCTCGCCGGCGTCGTGCAGGGCCTGGGCATCGGCGATGGCCGCTGCCTCGTCCACGCCCTGGTTCTCATCCCGGTTGCCCTGGACGAGGGAGACGCACAGCCGCTTAAAGTGGCCACTGGTGTCGCCCTTCAGGTCGGACTCTAGGGATTTGCCGAAGCTCTGCTCGTAGAACTGGGCAATGGTCTTGATGCCGTAGTTGGACAGCGTGCAGAGGATCTCGATGATGGCCTCCTCGTCGGTTCCCAGTCCCGAGATGGCGTCGTGCAGCTCCTGGGCATAGAACTGGGGCAGCGGCGTCATCAGAGCCAGGATAACATCCTCGAACTTGCCGCCCAGCTCGGACTTGAGGTCCGAGATCAGGTCCTTGCCGTACGAGGTCTTGAACGCCTCAGCGATCTCCAAACGCTGGACGATGCCACGCCTGGCCAGGATCTCGATGATGGCCTTCTCGTCGGTGCCGAAGCCCTTCATCGCCTTGCGCAGAATAGCCGCATCCTCGACGGGATCGAAGGGATCCGCCGGGTAGACGGTGGGTGTGCACTGCGAATCAAATATAGCCAATCAGCAAGTGAGTAACAACAATGAACAATTGGGTGTATTTTAATGCAGGGCACGTAAAACCAAAGAGGTGACTCAACAATACTCAGTGGCGTTTGTTCTATATACAAATACTTTATTATTCACTACGTTTGTTGTATATGCAAATACTTTATTATTCACTACATGTATTATCTCGGTTTTGCCGATTTCTTCTTTAATAAAGTTAGCTATTTAAATGTACTTTTATTTTTTCGCTGACCCTTATCTAAGAAACCTATAAGTGAAACCCTCCTATCAGTCGGTACTTGTTTGTCTACAGTTGTGTAGTATACACCTCTTGTGATAATTTAATAGCCCAATTACAGATAATTTCTTAGCATCTGATTGGTGCACTAATTTATATTTGCTTCGAGAAAAATCTTGCTTTCGTGGCAACAGCAAGCATTTAAATCAAAAACCGTGTTAGGCTTTTGGATGTATTTATAAGACTCATGTTTCTAAAAGGCTTTAGTGAAAAGTAGCTCATGAAAGGGGGTTATTATAGTCCAATTCTCATTTATCTGTTCAATCTGATTTGATCTGATGTTTTACATTAACAGCCGTAATCACATCAAGCAATTGACTTTAATACAGCTACAGTTTATCCCAGATTCATGGAATTCAATCCATTGTAAACTCACCTTGAACGGGTAGTACTCAGCGGAACTCATTTTGATTTGGGTTGTTGTGAAAAATCTGTAAGTAGGAAGTGAGGAAACATAATGAATATTGGCTAGACCAAAATCGTGATAGAAAATGAGCAAGGTCGGCTACCTTATGGCTCCCAGACCCAATGAACCCGGCCTTTAGTTAATTCATGCCCTGCCTGGTGACATCATCAACTCGTAAAAGCCTCGCATTACGCATACGCCTAGTAGCCAGCCTGGCGCTGCGCTAAAAACACTTTTCCCCATTGATTTTTTCCCTAGTTTATTTACCGAGATGTTTTTCTAGTTTTCCCCTCCAACTGCTGCCCAAATCGAGGTTCAACGTACTACCGGGCGAAAGTGAAAGTTTCCACTTTCAGTAGGCAGTTTGCGGAGGAGCGAACTTCGGAACCGGGTGCGTCTGATAGCCAAATGGCATGGCGCGGCAGTTTCGTGATGGCCCAGACCAAGCCCGCACGATGTGGCCTTATAAACGGATGAGCTCATTGCGTTCTGGTTTGGAAAACATCGGGCACGGTTCGTTTGTGGCCAAGAGAAAGCTTCAGGGAATTGGCTACCTCTCCACCCTTTTCGTTCTAGGTCTGCCACTCCACTTCAGTTGTCAAGTGGAACACTATCTCGGGCGACTAGTCCCCATAATCCCGAAAATCAATAGGGCCAAATTACCTAATGATAAATTTATTGAGATTTTTGATCGTTCCTCAATTTGTTACCACAGTACAAAATAACAACGGCACAAAATACATGTTTGCTTTTCTATGCTGCCGCCAAAGTAGAAAGTCAACAAAAAAAAAGCATTATAAAAGACTTGACGTGGCGACGGCATACCACAAAAAAAAAAAAATAAAAAAGAAACAACTACAAACGCCTCTGCAGTCAAGCTATAAACAAACAAAATGTTTTGGCCAACGTTGAAACCGGTTCTATACATATGGCGTACAACTAAACTCAAAATTCTAGTGGTTCTTAAAATTTCATGATTTCTTTTTAAAAAAAATCCAATCGCAAGCTGGGAATAATAACAAATCATTTGTTAGACTTTTTAAATATCGATCGGAGTTCTCCGTGATAGTTTGACCTCAATGTACTTTAATAGACATCTGTGTTTGGAAACACTCTTAATTATTCTATTGTTCCATAAATAAGTTTGGAAGTGCTTGGGGGACTGGAGAATACGATAGATGGAAGATAGATGCTTGAACTTAGCGTACTGGTGCTTGAAATAGCCATCTCACATGAATGCCTGGTGATACATTGAAATTAAAGCACTCAATGATTCACCAGATCTGTGACGTCAACTGGAAGTTTTGAGCACGACTTGAAAGTAGAGATATTAGAGTCTAGACTTCATGGAAGGGCGCAAAAACTGGAATAGCTCGTGACGATGTGTGAACAACTTTATAAACAAAAGCTTTGGCAAACTTCTTTTGGTGACCTCGATGGACTGTACCTCGAAATTCAGAAATGTTTTACAAGTGCACTGAGCACTTTACTCGGTAATAAACCTTGATGACACACCAATTCTAGTATAATTGCACGGTCCCGAGTACACTACTACTACATATGTATATTTTATGGAAGGTGGAATGTGGCCACATCCGATTCCGGTGAGTAATGCTGAGCAAGAGCCAGGCGCTCATACTTAGGCCTTACTGTAGTTTGAAGCTATTGTCGGGCAATTTAAGTTGATTGAATTACTAAATTAAGCAGGGAACTGGGGGCTACAGATATTCGCAGCATTCCGTTTCTCAATCCCAAGTAAAATAGGAAAGAAAGAAATAGAAGAAAAAACAAAAAAGAGAACAAACAGTTTACTTAGATTTTACTTAGAGATGAGAAAAGTCACACGCGTCGCGAGAGAAAACGCAAAAAGAGAGGGGACTTTGAGTTTGATGATGTCATCTTTTGTTTCTGAATATTTCTCCCAACCCGTCGCTTTTATTATTGGAATCGTCTGTAGAACTTTAAAGTAAATAGAGAAACAAGATTCTGGAGAATTCTCCCGATACCGCACCCAGAATTCTACAAAACGCCCATGGCACTGGTGAAAATTATCTTCGAGTGCTGAGCACACACTTTGTTTTCTCACTTTTTCGACTGATTTTCCGCCTGACTTTGCGATTTGTGGCACAGCGAGAGTAAACAATGAGTTTTATCTACAAATTCTTTTTGATTTACCAATGATATTCGATTTCCAACGTACAAGTCTGGCGATGCGAACTGCAAGCGATACCAATGCGATGTGAATAAATACTAATGCTATTTGAGCTCCGCGTTTGGTTTTTATACTCGCGCTCTCTCGCTGGAAGGCGGTTGGAAGTGAACAAACCGGCGATTGGGTTCCACTCACTGAAAATACGAACACTCTCAAATAGCGTAGCCGCGTATTCGCTCAGAGTTTTCGCTCAACTTTTAGAAAATATTGGGAGATAGCGGCTTAAGTGGAAGCTGGTATCTTCTGAGAATCTAAGGAGTTACGAGATGCATGAATCATCGCCATTGGAAGCAGTTGAGATAGCAACTATGAGGAAAGCACTATATTTCCAGATATTTTCGTGATAATGACGACATTGGGAAAATAAAATAAGATCTGATTACACTTTGAATTTCAAAATGTAAACTTTGATTTCAATACTCAGCCGTAAAAGCAAATAATGTTCAGTTCAATAGAGTCAACTAAATTTCAAGTTACTTCTAAAATCTGCGCATTAATAATATTTAATGTGTAAGGCATTAATACTATTTTTTGAATTTCGGTGTAAGTCAACTAGATCATAATAAGTCTTAATGCCATAATGGAAACACATTAAAGCAATAAAGTAACAATATATTTATTATAATTTTTTTTTTTATTATTACACTTCGTATATCTGAAACACCCAATTAACTATCGATATATCGATGTTAAGATTCGTCATCCCATCATAAACCTATTAAACAGAAACAACGTTCATAACTACCGTTCTGGCAGAATCCACACAAAAGTGTATGATAAATTTATGATAAAAATAAATCTTATTATATTAAAAAAATTTGATGTGGCGCCACATAGTATCACATCAAATACCTTTGGTCGGAGTACTCACATCTACCGATTGACCATTTATTGGTACTGCATAATGTATCGGTGGATCAACATGTCGAATGAAGAAAAAGCAAACCGCGTTTGTAAATTCAATCATTTAAAAGTGGCGCTACTAAAATCGCATAAAGTACCTTTTGTCAGGCTACGCACAACAAAGTATCGACTTTTCGAAGTTTATCGATGCGTCCATTGTATCGAATGAAATTTAGTTCAGTTAGTTTCCCGTTTGTTGGTCTCTTTATGAATCAATTGTTTAACCCTTCTCGTCCCAGAAATTTGCACACACCACTTGCAGCAACAGATCAGCAGTTCCTCTTGCAGTTGGAGTTAGTCATCGGGATGTGAGTATACATATGCACATAAAGTGCCAGAGGCATCTTGGTCTCGATTCGGCTTCGTCGGCCCCTCCCTTCTTTGGTGTTTTTTGACTTGTTATCTGGGCCGCGAATCGGAAGCGGAGCCCCTGCAACTTAAAACCTGAACCGACTACTCACACTCGTCATGGTGTTTATCTATGTACCCAGCAGATAAGGATAAGCGAGTAGACAGCAACCAGAAACCGGTAAACAGAATGTGGAAGGCAAGTGCCGGTCACCAGATTCAGGCCACCAGTGCCGCCTCCGCGGAGGACGACGACTGGGAGACGGATCCGGACTTCGTGAACGATGTCAGCGAGCAGGAGCAGCGCTGGGGATCGAAGACCATCGACGGCAGCGGTCGCACGGCAGGCACCATCGAGTGAGTCATCCGAAACTCTCGAGAAACTGGGTATCGGGTTCATTGTTCCCTTTCTTTCAGCATGGACAAGCTGCGCGAGGAGACGGAGCAGGCCGATCTGGACAAGAAGAAGCAGCTGCTGAAGGATCAGAACGCCGGATACGGCTACGGCGGAAAGTTTGGCGTTGAGAAGGACCGTATGGACAAGTCGGCTGTGGGTCATGACTACCAGGGCAAGGTGGGAAAGCACGCCTCGCAGAAGGACTACAGCGATGGATTTGGAGGAAAATTCGGTGTGCAAGAGGATCGCAAGGACAAGTCTGCCGTCGGTTGGGACCACGTCGAGAAAGTCGAGAAGCACGCATCCCAGAAGGACTACGCCACCGGCTTCGGAGGCAAGTTCGGAGTGCAGTCGGATCGGGTAGACAAATCGGCCGTGGGCTGGGATCACATCGAAAAGGTGGAGAAGCACGAGTCCCAGAAGGGTAAGTCACCTAACAGAATTGATTTCTTTCTAGACTGTAGTATGTACGTCTGATTACGATATTTATATATTCTCCCAACATCAGATTACTCCAAGGGCTTTGGCGGAAAGTTTGGAGTTCAGGAGGACCGAAAGGACAAGTCCGCAGTAGGATGGGACCACAAAGAGGCGCCGCAGAAGCACGCTAGCCAGGTGGACCACAAGGTCAAGCCTGTCATCGAAGGTGCCAAGCCTTCAAATTTGCGCGCCAAGTTCGAGAATCTGGCCAAAAACTCTGAGGAGGAGTCTCGTAAGCGGGCGGAGGAGCAGAAACGTCTGCGTGAGGCCAAGGATAAGCGTGATCGGGAGGAAGCCGCAAAGAAGACTGTGGCCGAAAACACTCCTCGTTCCTCGACGGAAACAACGCCTCCAAAGGGCAGCAGGGCGGCCATCCAGACAGGTCGGACCGGAGGCATTGGCAATGCCATCAGTGCATTTAACCAGATGCAATCGCCTGTTTCGGAAACTCCTCCTGCTCGAAAGGAACCCATTGTCATTCCCAAGGCGCAGCCTGTTAAAGTAGAAGCAAAGGAGGAGCCAAAGGCAGCTGCAACACCAGCTGTTATTGCTCCTGCTCCGGCAGTTGTACTCGCTCGTGAGTCGGAGATAGCTCCAGTGGCCAAGGCTGCAGCTCCCCCACCAGATGTGGTGCCCCAGATTGAGGTGGAAACCGTTGCCACGCCGCCCAGCAGTGAGCCGCAATCACCAGTGAACGTGCCGACGCCTCACCCCGAAGTCCAAGCCCAAGTCCAACCTGAGCCGCAGCCTCCAGCCGATCCAGAGCCAGTAGTTGAAGAAGAACCACTTTACCAAAACCAGGCCGAGATTAAGTCTGCCTCACCCTTGCCACCAACAAATGGAACCACTTCAGAGGCAGTCGCTCCGAGTAGCGGTGCAACCGTACCCGAGGAGGCAATCTACGCGAACTCAGACAATTTGGCCGACTACCTGGAGGACACCGGAATCCACGCCATTGCCCTGTACGACTACCAGGCGGCGGATGACGACGAGATATCCTTTGATCCAGATGATGTGATCACTCACATTGAGAAGATCGATGATGGGTGGTGGCGGGGATTGTGCAAGAATCGCTACGGACTCTTTCCAGCCAACTACGTGCAGGTGGTGGGACAGAACTCCTAAAAGCTTCCAATTGAAATTCACTATAGAACAAAATCAAATTGTATTTACATACTAACGAAAATGATAATACTGATGTTGGATTATAAACCATATAAACCAATTCGCAGCTAACCCAGCCCGTTTCCCATCCATTGTCCCCCCTCTTTTCCCTCCAAATTATGTGCAACGAACGGCTAGAGATTGAATTATTATTGTAATTTGTTATGCTAGCACTTAAAGTAATCGAGGTATTCCATTTTTAATATATGTATCATTTATTGCATTTTACATTCTTTGTATTTAACACATATATTTCACCAAGAAAATATGCCAAGCTATTTTAGATAGCGCTCATTTTATATTTTAAACATTAGGGATGATATTTGTGTCAAGTAACGATTTTGGTATTTTTGAATTGTATAAAGTCTACGAGAGTTTCCTGTGTCAGATGATCTGATCCAATGTTAAAAACCGATCTTATGTTGAAGACAGTCACAACAAAAAGTCTGGTCTTTTGATAAAGAAATACATAATTAATAAAGTTAATTAATATCGAGTTTTCTCTTAGTTTGTGGTACTGTAGTTCCAAATTTCACAATGTTTCGGGAGGATATTTGGCGTAGTCGGAAATGGAATCATTTTAGTTAGTGATATACTTGGGAAATCACAAATTACTATATGGCAAGAACAAGCAGATTGCCGCCTTGTTTGGGGTAGGACTTTTCCTGAATGGATCGGATTTCTTATCTGCCCTTTCCGAACGATGCCGTAATCTGGACAATTAGAAAATGACCCCTGTACGGGTATGATTCATGGTATGGTGGATGTGATTGTATATGGGCTCAACAAAGAAAGATAACTTTGCATTTTGCTGATTAATTAGTTGAAGAACTTAAGTAAAATGTACGCCCATGTTGTAAATTTGAGCAATAATTCCAAAGAAGCGGCGACTTAATTTGATAAGATTTATCGCAATTATTGGCGACGGATCTTAATCGGAAACAGTGTCAGCCGAAATCAAAGTTTTTGCTGATAAAGTTAATTTATAAATTAAACTTCGTGCGACAGGTATTACGATAAAGTGTGCGTGTTGGTAATAACGTGGAGAGTATTAAATTACGATTGTCCGTTAATGGGTACGCAACTACATAGTAACATCCCGCATAACCTATCTAACGGTAGCCTGTGGTGGACGATGACAGGCACACCGGTATTTCAAATGCACGTTCAAATCCTTGGCGGCATTTCTGGCCCCTTCAATATTCCGAATCTCAGGTCTTATCACAAAATCTGCCTTCAAAAAAGCAATGGTCTTCTCCCACACTCCCTCTCTCTCTCTCTCTCTCTATTTCTCTTTCTCCCATTCGCCGCTATCAGCACATATTTTGAATAAATAGGGGCTAGCGCTGAATGCTATAGTCACTCGATCGCATGGGCTCAGAGTTAAAACTTCAGTTTGGCCGATAAGGTATAGTACTCGTTTCGAGTGTTGCCAGATTTTGGCGAGTCAAAGAGAGAGTGGTCGCAGGTTGCCACATTGGGCACAGACGAAGGCAGTGTGTGTGTGAGAGGCGAGTGAGTGTGAGTGCAAAAGAAAGCAGCTGGTGGCAGAATCTCAAATATTGTGAGGAAAATTAATAAACAAAGAGCTGCGCTCTTTTCAATTGTCGTTAACTAAGTCAGCAATTGGCAGCCAAACAGTCCGCTTTATCGTCGTTTCTTCGATTCTTTTACTGCTCCCATCACTCTTGTTTCGGCCGTACGACGTCACGGAATTCGTAAATTGCTCCGCGAGAAAAGCAGAAAAATGCATTTATA